CCCCGCAGGAGAGGTGTGTCCGGCGAGGGAACAAGAACGGTTCCTAGGCGGGTTGAGGCGGCGGCGGCGCGCAAGGTGGGCGGGCGGCGGGCGGGCGGCGGGCGAGTGGGCGGGCACGGGCGGGCGGGCGGGCGGGCGGGCGGGCGTGCGTGCGGGCGGGGAAGGCTCGAGCCTCTCCGGTTGCGCCGAAGCGCGCCGTGCGTCCGGCGCGGTGGAGGTAGAGGGCGGACGAGGCGGGGAAGTCGAAGTTGATGACCAGCTGGCGGCGCGGGCGCGGGCGGGCTGGGTTAGGGCCGGCGGCGGCGGCTGGAGGCGAGGGGAGGGCGGGGAGGGGGAAGGGTTCGGCTCTGTCCCTCCCGCATACTTCTCTCGACCCAATGCTAGGGCAGGGAAACCTGAAGGGAGACCGCGCGCGCGGGGCCGCGGCTTGGCGGCCCCGCGCGCCAAGTTGTGGGAGGGAGAGGTGGGCAGCCGGCCTGGGGCTTGGGCGGCGAGGCGCAAGGGTGGCCGGCTGCCGTATCTGACTCCCTCCGCAAGGGGTGTCTTGGGGGGGGTGCCGGGCTGGGGAGGGGGGAGGGGGGAGGGGGGGGAGAGGGGGGGCGAGGGCCTTGACGCGCGGGAAGTGCAGCCCCCTCGCCGCCAGGTCGGTCGCCACGAGCACGCTCTGCCGCCCGTCGCTGAAGGCGCCCCTCGCCTCTGCGCGCGCGTCCGGAGGCATCCCTCCGTGGCAGCCGGCGACAGAGAGCCCCGCGTCGGAGAGGGACTTGCCGACGGCGCGCGCGGACTGGATGCCTGCTCACACCTCGAGCCGTGAAGCGACGCCCTCCTCCCCTCCCCGACTGCGCCGCACGGATGCCGCGGCAAAAGATGAGAGCGGGCGTGTCTGCGCCCAGCTGCTTCACGCGCTGCGCGAGCACCTGAGCTCGGGAGGGAGCTCGCGTGACCTCGGGGCGAGCTCGGGCGAGTTGCCTCGCCGCGCGAGCGCCTCCATCTTGTCGCCCTCCACATGCAGCAGCCTAGACAGCACACGCGCGAGGGACGGGTCCCGGAAAGGTCGTGCCTCGCGTGCCGTTCGCCCTCTCCAGCCGGCCGCCGGTGCGTGAGCGAGGGCGGAGCGCGGTGCGCGCAGGGCGTGAAGAGCAGCTCCGCGCGCGGGAAGCCCTTGCCGATGGCGTGCCGCGCCTGGCTCAGCACTCAACCACTCACCATGGACACTGGTCACCGTCCCTCACCGCCGCTCGCGCTGCCGCGCCTCGGCCGACAGCGTCGCGCTCGCCAGCGCGACTTGCACACGCCCAGCCCGGCCGCCGGCGCCGCCCGCCTCGTCGGCCTCGCCCTGAGTCGCGGTGTGGAGAGAGGGCGCGCTCAAGACGGAGAAGGAGAGACTGGCGCGGCGAGGGGGCGGAGGAGGCCGCCTCGTCGCCAGCGCGGCGTCGCGGCGGGCTGCAGCGCCGCAGGATGGCGTCGAGCTCCTCGTCGAAGCCGCGCAGCAGCACGTCGTCTGCCTAGGAGCCCACGGCCAGCCCGTCCATGCCCGGTCCCGCCCGCCCATCCGCAGGCTGCGTCTCTCGTCTCCTCGTCGACCGTGACCGACTCGACCGACCGGAGCGACACGTCGCCCAACTTGTGCAGCGTGAGGAGCCGGCCCGGCGTCGCGACGATTAGATCGGCGCCCGTGCGCAGCGACTTGCGCTGGTCTCTCAGCCGCCCTCCCGCCGCGAGCGCTCGCACGCGCACGCGGCACACGTGCGAGAGCGCCTTGGCCTGCGCGGCAATCTGCTCGACCAAGTCGCGTGTCGGCGCGAGCACGAGCGCGCGAGGCCGGAGCTCGGCCTTGTGCTCGGGCCGCGCGTCCTCCTGCTCCTTGAGCCGCTGCATCATCGGCACCAGGTACGCAAGCGTCTTGCCAGAGCCTGTCGAGGAGGCCATCGCCACCGACGCGCCGGCGAGCAAGCGCGGAATGGCGAGCTGCTGGATGGGCGAGGGCGCGGCGAGGCCCTGCGCAGCGACGGCGTCGACGAGCTCGGAGCGCACGCCGAGCGACCTCCACGGAGAGGAGAGCGTCGAGAGGCGTCGACAGGAGCGCATGCGGCCCGCGGTTTGTTTTTTTTACGAGTCGAGTTTCTCCACCCTCACACGGTCTCTCCGTACCCACGCGCCTAGCGGCGAGATTGCTAGAGGCGGAGCAAGCCTGCTCAAACATCACATGTTACTTCCTGTCCGCCTGTTGTCTTGTTGTGCCCTTGTTTATTCTCTTGGCACCTTGGTTGGAGTGCTGGGTGGGGGGGGCGACAGGGAGAATGTGGACCTGAGTTATGTGTACGCCAACTCAGGGTGTGTGGCAGCCAGCTGGCTGTGTGTCTTGTGAGCTTGTTTGTGTCTGTGTGTCGCTCGTGCGTGTCGTCATCATCTGTCCAGCGTCCACCCATACCGCGTTGGTGTCCAGTCCGAGCCTGGCTGTTCTTCACCTTCCTACATACATACATCGAGTATGTGGTTCTAACGAACATACCCGAGGGTGAACTGCTGACAGGGTTTGCGATGAGGAGCGATCCGAACGTGGCATTCGGGTGATCAGAACACTACCGCCGAAACGAAAGCGCTTGGAGCAAGCAGCAAGGGAACTGCGACGTATCGGAGAGAGAGATTTTTGAAACCCAACAAGAAATCACGACTCCCACAGTGATTTGGGCTCGGCAGCTTGTCAGCCCTCAGCCGAAGCTGGGGCCGGTCCCGTAGCCGAGAGAGCCCGCGTCGATGAGTTCGACGCGGTCGGGAGGCCTTGCGAAGAGGCCAGCGAGATGGCGATCGCTATACTTCATGGTGTCATCAAAGTGACCGGCTGACAAGCCAGAGGTCGATACTCTGGACGACCCATAGGATGCCACGACTGCCTGAAGGAGAGGGAGGCGAGGCCAGAGGCAGGCTCAGTTGCTCTCGGGTGATCTCGCTTTGGTGGCTGAAGGACCCGATGGGTCCTGCTGGGGTCCTGTCACATTCGCGTTCCGAGTCGTGGGGGTAGAAGATTGCGGGGGGGGATCGTGTCAGCGCTTCCTTGAAGTACAGCGGACCGCCAGGCTCGCTGGCTGCATCCGCAGGGAGGCAGCATATCAGGCACCAGTCTTCTGGAGAGCTCAACAGCTGCAGCCGCGATGGCAGAGTCGGCCGCGGCTCGAGCCAGCAGCTTCAGGTTTTGGCTGCGGGATCGAATCGCGGAAGGCTCATGCCCTCGCGGAGCGACGCGGGTCGCGCGGCGCGCGCGTGTGCAAAATGCGACAACAGACGACAGACGACAGACGCCTGAGCGCTGAACGGCTGAACGACCGTCGCCGCAATCGCCACCGCGGCCATTTTGACGAGGGATGTGGCGAGGGGTGCGGCGGCGTGTTGCGGCAGGCCTTGGTGGATGGGGAGCGGGTGGCGGCGTGCATGTGCAACCCGCCCTTCTACGGCGAGAACGAGGCGCCGCGCGGGCGAGCGGACCGCGCCGGCGAGCGGTGTGAAGACTCGCCGCTGCGGGAGAGGCGGTGCTGACGGCTCGCGCGTGTGGGTAGGGGAGCGGTGCGAGGCGTCGAGGAGCGAGCTCTTCACGGCGGGCGGCGAGGTCGGCTTTGTCTCGCGGCTGATCAGCGAGTCGGCAGGCACGCTCACACGCACACCGCCCGTCCTCCCCCCTTGCCCTACCATCGTGTGTGTGCGGAGACGATCATCTGACCTTACCTTAGGCATGCGCGACGCCGCCGGCTGGTTCTCTTCGCTCGTCGGGCGGAAGGCGTCGCTCTCGCCGCTGCTGCAGAGGCTCGACGAGGCGGGGGCGGTGCACGTGCGCACCACCGAGCTCGCGCAAGGCCAGCGCTCCGACCTGCAACGTCCTCCCATTCACAGAGCCGTGAGCGTGTCACGCGATTGCGACACAGGCACCACTTCGCGATGGGTCCTCGCGTGGTCCTACGAGCCGTCGGCGGTGCCGCGCGAGCAGGCGCGAGCCGCAGCCGACTCGCGTGGCAGGGGCGGCGGTGGCGGTGGAGGCGATGACGACGGTCCTGGTGGCGGCGGCGGCGACGCGGACTACGAGGAGGCTGCCGGCGACGGCGGGGAAGGCCCGAGCGGCCGGCGGTGGGAGCGCAAGCATGGGAAAGGTAAGAGGACGCGGAGAGCGGGCAAGGAGTCAGGCGGTCGGAAGGGGAGAAAGAAGGCTGCGAGGGTAGAGTGAGTGTGAGATCCGTTTAACGAAACGAACAAAACACTCAAACCTTCCGGCACCGGGCGTCCCACTCTCTCCCCCCGGACACATGCATAACCGCGCCGTCCCGAGCACTAGCACTAGTGAACTGCGAGAGCCGCACAGACAGGAAAGCCGTGTAGCTCTGCCTCTCAGCACTCAGGAGTCGCGCACGCCCCCCCTAATCCCCAACCCCTTCCCCTATACGCGCTACACGCGCAGCCCCGCGCCCAGCCCCAAGTGTACAGTCGCAAGCCAAGTGTACGCAAGCCACCCCAAGTGCCATCCCAGATTACACACTAGCAGTGTGGAGCCTTGCGCAATAGTCCTTGCTTCGGGCTCAGGCCGCGGTCGAGATCGCGACCGGCGTGGCGTCCTTGCCCTCGGGGGCAGCCTTCTGCCCAGGCGCGAAATACTTGAAGTAGGCCGCGTGCGCCGCGCAAAAGAGGGCGAGCGCCCCGTACGCGATGGCGAAGCGCCAGCCCTCGTTGAACGGCCGAATCTCGTCGTTGTTGATCTTGTAGCTCGACGCGTCGAACGTGTAGTTCGTCGCGAAGCCCAGTGCGTTGGTCTATGGGGGCAAGGTGTGAGGCGGATCAGCATTCCTCCTCGCTTGGCGGGGCGCGTAGACTGGGTGAGGCACGGCCGACCTTGGGCTCCGTGAAGGTAGAGAGGACCACCTCGCCCAGGTCGGTGGTGTAGTGGTCGCCTCCCGTGTCGGCGGACATCACCGTCCCGTCCGAGAAAACGTAGTTGTTGCCGTGCATGAGGCCGAAGAGGGAGAGGAAGGAGGCGAGGGCGGCGACGACGCCGCCGCGCACAAAGTTCGAGTCGGTGAGGTCGCACAGAATCCAGCTCACGATGAGCGAGCACATGATGCCGCCCGCGGGCGCCATGTTGGAGACGCCGCGCATGCGGCCGAGCGAGCGGGTGGCCATGCCGACTCCAGCGTTGAAGTGGTCGAAGTAGATCATGTCGGCGACCACGAACATGATGCCGACCATCAGGCACGGGTAGTGGCGCGACGGCGACACCTCCAGCGCCTGCTGCACGATCATCAGGCCCACGGCGATGAGGATGACCCCGATCGAGACACCGTCGATGAGGTAGAAGAAGAGGCCGGTGAGGCCGCTCATCATGAGGACAAAGTACGCGAGTCCGTTGCAGAGCGAGTAGCCCGCGGTCGCGCCCGACGCCTTGTGCCTCCGGTGGCCAATGTACACCTGTTCCACAGGTGCAGGCGTGAAGAGTCGCTCGTCACGCCGTGCGCCGCGGCGGTGGTCCTCTCGTCGCACCGTCGTCGGGATCGTGGCGCCACAGATGGCGCCGAACATGGTGCCGAGCCCGTCGCAGAGCATCGCCTCGTGCACGTTGTAGCTGTCGCCGCCGAGCTCCGCCGCCTCGACGTTCTCGATCGTCTCGAGGAAGGAGGCGAGCGCGATTGGCAGCTGGATGGCGATGGCGCGCGCGGTAATGTCCTTGAAGCCCTCGAGGACGGTGAAGGGCGAGAACTTGTTCTTGCCCACGTAGGTCTCCGCCGCGAACTTGGCCTGGCACCCCATTACCGAGCGCTCGTTCAGGTCGCCCGTGCCGCCGGTCTCGCCGCAGCCGTCGCGGTTCTCGGTGTCCCAGCGAGCGAGGCCTGCGGGGGCGTGCCATGGACGCGTCGTGAATCTGTGCAGGCTACGTCCGATCCGCGTCTCGGGCATGGCTCACCGCTCCACCAGAGGGCGGTGCCGACGGCGAAGATGACGAGCGCGGCGGGCACGCGCGCGGGGTAGATGCCCTTGCCGCCGTTGGCGAAGAAGCCCGTGAAGCAGAGCGCTAGCGGGAGGAGTCCGATGAGCGGCTCGCGCATCACGTCGATGAGCGGGCTGAGGCCGAGCCACACGAAGCCGACGCCGCAGATGGGAGCGAAGAGAGCGGCGCGGGGCACGTTGCGCCGGATGATCTGGGCGAGGCCGATGCCGCACACCTCGAAGAGTCCGCCGATCAGGTTGGCGCAGCAGGCCGCCGCGAAAGCCTCCCACGCGAAGTCCTCGGGCGACAGAAGCTCCGAAACAGGCTTTCCGTTGAAATTGAACTCGACGTAGGGCGAGTTTTTGAAGCAGAGCGGCAGCATCACCTTTGGACAGAGCGGTGGGGCGTCTGGGCTGGTGTGCGGTACTGCGGCGGCGGGCGGCGGGCTCCAACAGCCAGAGGGTGTGTGTAGGGCGACAACAGTGGCGTCTCGCACCATGTAGACCATGAGGAAGCCGGCGGGCGCGTTGACGCCATAGGGGAGGGCGGTAACGTCGGACCGGTTCTCCTTGCGGGACAGCTTGGCGGCCATAATCGCGTACCAGATGTTGCCGAACAGGAGGGCGCAGCCGATGCCCGGGCAAACCCGTTGGAAGACCATGTCCGCGAACGCTTGGTAGTACGCGGGGTAGTTGGGCTCGCCATCGTTCGCGGTGAACGTGAAGGAGCAGGCGATCATCGGCGCGGTGAGCATAGCGGACAGGATGCCGAGGAGGGAAGAGAAGTTGTCAAAGAAGAGCATGAAAAAGGAGTCCAGCTGCGAGCGGGTCGGAGGCGGTCGGGTCAGACAGTGGTGGTGTAAGGGTGGTGATTGTGAGTTGGTGAGCTGGTGAGCAGGTGGTGGCGTTTGCGAGGGAGGCAAGCGGCGATGACGGAGCGGCGACTCGGTGATGGCTATTGTTGAAGCGCACGTCGCCCTTGGTCCAGCTCTTTGGCGACAAATACTGCCAGTTCGGCGTGATGCACATGGCGGGCTCGCCCCAGAGCTTGGAGATCGTTTGCTTCACCATGCGACGAGGAATAGAGAGAGAGATGCTGTTGAGCAAGGATTGCGCCGTCGAATTGAGGCGGTGAGAGTTATCCCCCCCGGCTTCTCAATCCCATTCCCCTCGCTTGCAAGGTGCCCGAGAACGCTCGCCGACGCGTGTCAACGCGAATTGTTTTCCTTCATGATAACTTCGCCAACACACCTAAGTAAGGCGTGAGAGAGAGATCCTCCTTGTCTCCACCCATCCAACCAATCATCCAGGGTGGGGAGAGATTTGAGATTTGTTTGTTTGAGATATTTGAAAACCAACAAGAAATCACGACTGCCACAGTGATTTGGGCTCGGCAGCCTGGGAGACGTTGTTGTCGACTGTCGGGCAGCAAATGCGCACTCCGCAGGTGATGCACGCCCACCTCACGCCTCGCTTCTTGCACTTGCCGACGCCGCATGTTCCGGCAATTTCCACCTGGACGTTGTGCGAGATGTTGTTGGCTCGGCGCGCGAGCATGAGCCCCGCCTCGGCGAGCTGGCGGTCCGACATGTGGGAGAGCGGCATCGACTGTGCGTAGGGAACCGACATGGTTGGTGGCGAGTCGAGGTAGTAGCCGAGGCCCTCGTCGCCCGTCTTGAACGCGTAGCCCCCCTTTGCCCCCTCGAAGGAGGGCGACGGCTTGAAGGCGAACGACGGAGGAAGGGATGGCCCAAAGGGCACTTCCTCGGGGACAGAGCCAGCCGACGGCGTCGTCGCGTCGCTCGCGGCCACGCCCGCGGCATCGACGACTCCATGCGGGGCGAGGCCGCGGGGGACGAGACCGCCCGGCCTGGGGCGAGCCCATGCTGCTCTGACTCGACCGCTCCCTCCTGTTCTTCCTCTTCTTGCCGGCGTCCGGCGTCAACTTGCGACGAGGGCTCCTCGCTCGGCTGCGAGGTTGACTTCGCCTCGCCGTTCCTCCTTTCTCCTCCCTCCTCGCCCGCCGCCGCGCCGCCTTCGCCTCCTCCGCCGCTGTGTTGGCGGGCGCCGAGGAGGCCTCCTCGCGAACGGCGGCAGCAGCCGCCGCCAAGCCGGCCACAGGAGGAGAGGTAGTCGGTCGCACAATCGCACGCCGAGTCACTCGTACAGACCCCCAGTGTACTCAACTAGGTGGCTGCGCAAACGATTTTCAGACACAAAAAGACAGACACACAAGCGCACAGGCTATAGCGACGCGTTGGGGCGCAGCCGCACTCTAGATACTCACGGAGAAAAACGCAAGCGGAAGCAGCACGGTGTAGAGCGCTGTAGAGCTGTAGAGCTGTAGAGCTGTAGAGCGCTCTGGAGCGCTGTAGAGCTGTAGAGCTCTACATCCGGCGCGTGACGAACTGCGTGCGTTGTAGAGCGATGTAGAGCGCGACTTTGCTGTAGAGTTTGTTGTAGAGGCTCTACGCCAAACCGCCGGGAAGGCAGTTAACTCAAAGAGGTCGAGCCGCACTAATGGGGTGTCTCCGAGCTTACTGGAGCTCTGATGGACGGCCCTGACTATCCCCTGACACACAGAGAGTCACTCTGACGGCACACAACACCCTATAACTGCGTCATGACCAGCCTGCCATGCGTCGCCGGAGCCGCATTCGTCGCTGTGCTTCTTTAGCAGGCGGTGGACTGTCGGCGGCGAGGACGGTCGCATTTGCGCGAGGCGAGGCGAGCATTGCTGCGCGTTGCATGCGCCATGACTCGCGCCAGCGCGTGCGGGAGCTCCTGGCTGAGCGTTGAGTCCAGGCAAGTTGCGCTGGCCACGATCGCTACGCCGAGCCGAGCTGACGCGCCGAGGCGCCGGCCAGTCGCAGCCGCGAGGCATGCCACAGCAGCAGAGGCACCTGCCACCCATTGGGCGGGCAGACAGAAGGCCAGGGCAGCACTGGCAAGTGCAACGCGCCTCATGTCGGAGAGCGACCGTGCCTCGTTCGCCGCTTATGATGTAGAGTTTGTTGTAGAGACTTCACGTTGTAGAGCGCCTCTACATCGCTCTACAGGCGACTCACATCGTCACGCGCCGGATGTAGAGCTCTACAAGCTCTACAGCGCTCTCCAGCTCTCCAGCTCTACAGCACTCTACACTAAAGGAATCTAGGCGCAGGCGCATCCTGTGTCGAACGCAGGTGATCGCAGACACAGTCTCCTCGATTGCGGTGCTCGGGGCTCCATACCACTCGCCGCGCGGACAAAGCTACACGGCAGAGAGGAGAGACGCCGCGCCGCGGCGGCAAGTTGAACTTGAAGTTCTCGCTCTGCATCTCGGGTGAGCCTGTTCTCGCTCCCAGTTTGTCCACAAGCATGGTGCTATAACCATAATACAAAAGTGCATCCTCCATCCACGCCCGACCCCCCGCCCCCCTTTCAGTTCTCACGACGCCCAACGTCCTCCATCCCGCCCTCAACCTCCACGAGCCGATACTGTAGCGTTAGCATCGCGCCGTGTTCCCCCACGCGCAAACAAAGGCCAGAGTCGCGCGAGTTGCAGCTGGCATTCTATGCTCCAGAGCATTCGCAGGCGCCGCGCCACCTCTCATTAATCAGGCAGCGTCGAGCCTCTCCCGCTCAGACCTCGCGGCCTGCGCCACCTGAACGAGTGATGCTACTTCCGGCCTTGTGGCCTTGCTCACGGCGAGGCGCCGCTCCAGCTCCCCCACCTCCTTCATCCTAAGCTTCAGCTCCGCCAACTGCTCCGCCAGCTCCTGCGGCTGATGAAGGGCATCGGAGGGGCGTTTCGACCGCCGCCGACTCGGCTTGCCGCCCCGCGCCTCCTCCTCGTCGGGCTCCACGAGCCGCTTGTGAGGCGGCTTGCGCCGCCGGCAGCAGCAGCGGTAGAAGCAGAGCGCCAGGAAGAGCCACACGGCTACTCCCAGCGCCAACTTCAGCGGGGAACTGGCGAGGATGGTTTGGCCAAGTCTAGCTTTAGCGAGATCGCGAAGGAGAGGGGGGAGAGCACTCGGAGTGGATGTCCGGTTCCGGTCGTCCAAGTTTAGCTTTAGCGAGTCGCCGAGGGGGCGCAGGCTCCACTCGCGCACCGCGCTCCCGTGTTCGGCGGCCTTCTGGGCCCACCGATCAGGGAGCAGCGCGTCCAACTCCCCACCCAGCTCCTTGACGACGGGCGCCACGGTCTCGTACCCCGTCCGCACCGTCCCGTCGAGCTTCTCGACGAAGTCGGCGTAGAAGGGTGGGGGTGGGGCGAGCGGCGGCGGCGGCGTCGGCGGCGGCGTCGGCGGCGTCGGCAGGGTCGGCGAGGGCGGGGCCGCGGGAGGCGAAGGCGGCGGCGTCGGCGGCGGCGGCGGCGGCGGCGGCGGCGGCGGCGGCGAGAGAGGCGGCAGCGGCGGCGGCTTCGGTGGCGGCGGCGGCGGGGCTGCGGGAGGCGAAGGCGGCGGCTGCACGGAGCAGCAGCCGCGGCAATGCGGGCAGGTGTGGCCGGCCCAGAGTCCCTGGAGGGAGGGGCTGGTGCAGGAGGTGCCGATCCAGTCTCCGCATTTCTGGCCAAGGCACAGCGCGTCGGGAAAGACACACGGTGGCGACGGAAGCCCGAGCGGAGGCAGTCGGCCGCGATTTTGAGCGCCTCGCCCTGCTGGTGGCGGCGGCGGCGTAGCTGGCGGCGTCGGCGGCGGGCTCGGAGGCGGGGTTGGAGGCGAGGGTGGAGGCGGCGACGGCGACGGCGGCGGGGCTGGCGGCGGGGCCGCGGGAGGCGAAGGCGGCGGCGGCGGGGGCAGTGGCGGGAGCGGCGGCGGCGGAGGCGACGGCGTCGGTGAATTCATTTTTTCGTAGCACGTCGTGCCGCTCGAGGGCGTTGCGCCCGCAATCATGTCTTTCGATGCTTGCGCCTTATAGGTCTTGCACTCGACCTGACCTCCGTAGCGGAGCGGAGCGTAAAAGCTGTAGCCGACGCAGAGTGCGTCGACGTCGCAGGACCGGCGGCAAGTGGCGTGATTCTCTGCGTAGGAGAGGCTGTTGGACGTCGACGCGGTGTCGAACTTCCCAGGGCCGCCGGCGCGGTCTACACACGCGCCAGCTCGCCCGAGGAACCAAACCATAGATCCAGGGATGGATTCCTAGGTCATGAGAGATAGGCGCCGTTGACCTCTACACGGGTAGCGGAGAATGAGGTGAATGGGGTCCGTCTGCGCGAGAGGAGGTGGTCGGTGAAGCTGACATCATTTTTCTTCTTTACAGCGGCCGCGGCGGGTAGGTAGTGCCTTTGCCTACACTCTCCACCCCACCCGCATCGGTGCTGCGAGGCGCGCTCCTCGCGCCCCTGCCCGGCGGCGGCGTGCTGCGCCGCCTCACCCTCGGCTCCCCACCCCAGGGCATGTCCGGCATCGCTCGCGGCCGCCTCCAGGAGGAGCGAAAGCTCTGGCGGAGAGACCACCCGCACGTGCGCGCCGCACGCCAGTCGCGCGAGAGCCCGCGCCGCACGCTCACGGCGCCTCACCCCTTCGCCGCCTCAGGGATTTGTGGCAAAGCCTCGCACGAATCCCGACGGGACGCAGGACATCCTGCACTGGGACTGCGTCGTGCCCGGCAAGAAGGACACCATCTGGGGCGCGGGCCGCTACCCTGTGCACATGGTCTTCACCGACGAGTACCCGAGCAAGCCGCCCGAGTGCAAGTTTGGCAAGGCGCCCAACGACAAGCCGCTCTTCCACCCCAACGTCTACCCCTCCGGCAAGATCTGCCTCTCGCTGCTCGACGCCGACAAGGCCTCGCCGCCGCCGCCGCCCCTCCTCTCCCTGCCGCCTCTCCCCTCCCAGCCGCCTCGCTCTTCCCCCTCACGCCTCTCTCCTCTTTTGCCGCCCACTGCTTCACAGCCCCTCCCCTCGCCGACCAGGGATGGAAGCCGGCGCTCACCATCAAACAGTTGCTGCTCGGCAGCCAGAGCCGCGCACGGCCCAGCGGCCGCAGGAGCCTTCGCCTCAGCCTTCTCCCGACCCTGCCTCGTAGGCATCCAGACGCTGCTCGACGACCCGAACGTGGGCGACCCGGCGCAGGAGGAGCCGTACCGCGTGTACAACAACAACCGCGCCGAGTACGAGAGGAGGGTCAAGGAGCAGGCCCGCCTCTTTGCAAACATGTAGGGCGGGCGGGCGGAGGGGCAGCAGAGGGGCAGAGGGGCAGGCTGGGGAGCGGCGGCCGCTCCGTGGGAGAGGGCCGTGCTGTGTGGGAGGTCAAGCGGGCGGGGAAGCGGAACTGTGGCGGCTTCAGCGCGCGCTGCACAGACAGCCACAGGTCGCGACATTTTTCCGGTGTGAGAGGGTTGAGTCCTGAGAGCGCGCCGGGCCGCCGCCGGCGTGGCCGGCGACCCGACGCCGCAGTATTTTTGCGGTGGTGGGCGAGTCGTGTACCGTAGCCGTCAGGGGTATAGTTAGGGATAGGGATTAGGGGTCCCCGCGTTTCACCACTCCACAGACCACACCTCACAACACACGGCGTCACGGGGCTCTCTCACACGGGCGGAAAAAAAATCGTGGCTGGATTCCGGGGACACAAAAATACTCCAAATATCCATACACCATACTCGTTACTCGTTAAACTCGGCCTGTGCGCTGTGGCGCGTATGCCGTAACCCGTAAGCCGTATCCCCAGGGTAATGCCCCCGGCTCGTTGTGCGAGTATATGGGACACGATGTCTCAAATATGAGGGGTTTTGACTCCTACCGGCTCCTGACGCTATCCCTGGCAGCTCTAATGACCAGGATCAGTAGTACTATGATAGAGGCTGCCCATACTAGCGCAGGAGCTGCCACACTCGCCCGGACCGTCCCCCTCTGGGGCCGGTTCCGCAGCCCGCGAGAGCCGACAGCGGGGCCGTGCCGCGGGTGCCTACTGCCGAGTGCCACAAACACTGCGCCGTCCCGCCACCACCTACAGGCTGTCTTGTGTGATGGTTGGGATGTCCAAACGCCACCATCTTGGCTCTTGCGACCTCAAACCCGCGAGCTGTATGGGTGGTCCTGACGTCGACAGACGCCCGAGGACCACGGTGAAGCTGAGCCGGAACGCGTCGACAAGTCTCGTCTGAGCCCGTGGCGGTCGCCGGCTGAGTCGTTGTGCACGGGCCGGTACCTCAGGCGTCACCTCCGCAGCCTCAGGTCTCACACTCCACCACCTCCGCCAGGACGCCGTCGGTGGCACGCTCGGCGGCGAGTTTGTGGCAGCTCCACAGCGAGCGCGGCATCGAGCCTATTCGGTCTGGTCGGTTAGGCGCACTCCCTGGGAGTGCGCCGAACGCGCGAGCGGTGCGTCCTGGCAGCCCGCGCTGGCTGCGGAGCTGCCACAAACTCGCCACGCTTTTTTGGGACATTTTCGACGCTTTTGTCCCATATACTCGCACAACATGCCCCCCCCCCGGGTATCCGGGAGATCGGACCAGATGCCGTGCGATCGCCGATCGGGGACGGCCCGGCGGCCGCGCAGGCGGCGAGCCCGGGGCTCTCGAGTGACGAGTCACAGTCCAGGACATGAGTCAGGACTCCTGACGACTCGTCACTCGACTCAGGGCTCAGGACTCTCGTCTCTCGACGGCGGGGAGCGCAGCCGGGGGGTGCACTTTAATTCAGTTTAATCGCGTGCTTTTCCCTTTTAGGACTTTGCGGAGATCAGCAGGAGGATGATGGATGTACGAAGAGATTAGGAGCAGCAGCAGGGACCCGAGGGACCATGTGGAAGACGGCTAGTGCTAGTCCCCCATCGGGAGGACGACCGCGGCTAGTCGCCGACCACACCCACAAAGAACCCTGCACAAAGATCGCACGGGCGGGGACCTGTTCCTTTTTACCCACCTCTCACAGTAGAGAGAGGTGTCCGTTTTTATTTATTTATTTATTTCCCCTTTTATGGGGTCGCTGATGGGTGATGGCGGCCGTCGCCCGTTGCCGCGCCATGTGCCGCTCTTCCGGGTGTCTTGTCGGACATCGGAGAGTTCTCCTCTTTCTGCTTTTTCGATCTCTCCACCGGGCCCAGATGAGCTTTCAACCCGCACGCGCGCAACCGACGGCGCGGCTGCTGCGCACGACTCCGTCCGGTGTCCGGATGCCCGCCCCTGCCGCCCTGCACTCGCGCCCGTGACACGCTGTGCGTCCCCCTCTCTCCCGACGAGAGCGGGTCAGTCGTACAAGTCGCTCGAGAGGTCGTTGTCTCCAAACGAGCTCGGCCGCGGCGCGAAGCGGTCGCCGGAGGGAGGCACCACGGCCATGGCGGCGTCGAAGTCGGAGGCGGCCAGCTGCCGCAACCCGCACCACTCGCCCTCGCTCTCGCCCTCGCCCTCGCCGCCTGCCTGCAGCGATCCCGCCCGAGCCCACATTTGGGGCGGGGCGGGCGGCTCGCCGCCCGCGGCGGTGCCGCTCTGCCCGCCGCTGCCCGACGATGACTCCCGCCCGTCGGTCCCGCCCTCGCCCTCGGTGCCCTCGCTCCCCTCCTTGCGTCCGTCCTCGCGCCGCATCATCTCCTGCGGGGACGGCTCCAGGGGGTCAGAGAGAGCCCCCCCCCCCCCCCGTCCTCGCGGTCCTCGTGAGAGCGGGACGCGGCTAGGGCCGCATCTCGGCCGCATCTCGGCCGCATCTCGGCTCTGCGTCGGCTCCTCGAGAGGCCGCAGTGCGGCCGTGCGGCAGAGCTGCTCGAGGTCCGAGCCGGAGTAGCCGTGCGTCCTGCGGGGGGGGCAGGCGTCCGAACACGGCTCAGGGAAGGCGCTTCCTGCTCAGCGAGCCGGCGGCAGCGGCGCGACCTCGCGGCGATGGCTGCCACGTCCAGCTCGCGCGCCATCGCCTCGCCGTCGAGCAGCCGGCGCAGCACCTCGGCGCGCGCGCGCTCGTCGGGCATCGCGACGGGGAGCGAGAGTGGCAGCCGGCGCAGCACCGCGGGGTCGACGAGCGAGGGCTGGTTGGTGGCGGCGATGACGACCACGTGTGCCTGGGCGGCCGCTCGAGTCGCGGGCGAGAGCATCCCGTCCCACAGCGCGAGGAACTGGGCCCGCAGCGCCGCCGTCGCCTCGTGCTCCGAGGCGCCGCGCTTGCCGCCGTGCGAAAAGATGCAGTCGATCTCGTCGATGAAGAGGATGCTGGGCGCGAGCTTGTGCGCGAGCGTGAAGTACGCCTCGGCCAGCTTGTTTGACTCGCCGTACCACTTCGAGAAGAGCCGCGCCGGGTTGAGGCACAGGAAGGCGAAGTCCGCCTCCTGCGCGATGGCCCTCGCGAGCATCGTCTTGCCGGTGCCGGGCGGGCCGTGGAGCAGGATGCCCTTTGGAGGCCGCAGCAGCTTGGAGGCAGCGAAGAGCCGCGGCTGCTGCAGCGGCAGCAGCAGCGCCGACCGCAGCTGGCGAGCCTGCTCCTCGAGGCCCCCGACCTGGTCGAAGGAGCAGCCGGCGCCCGAAGGAGCGACGAGATCGGAGGCGACCTCCAGCTCGTACTCGGTCAGGCTGAGCTTGGACTTTTGCTGCCGCTGACGCAGCCGCGACTGCAGAAGCGCGGCTCGGCCGCGGCGGGTGCTCGCCCGGTCGGAATTGCGAGGGTCGGCCCGTCTGACCATCGCCCAGGTCAGGAGGCCGGCCGCCGTCAGAAAGGCTGCGTCCATCATGAACTCCATGAAGCGGCCCGCATTCGTGGTGCTCCCCATGAAGCGGCTTAAGTAGCGGCGCCACGGCCGTGAGTGCGAACACTGCGCGGGAGGAGAGGGCTGCGGTCGCGGCGTCGCGCGGGGAAGAAATGGCGATTTTGTCGCGAGCGACGACAAGAGAAGGCGCGGTCCCTGTGTGGTGGCGGCGTACCGTCCTCCCATCCCTCCACGGGCTTCTTTCTTTTCTTTTGAGAAGGCGGGCGCAGAAGGCGAAGGAAGAAAAAAAAGCCTGCGGCTGCGCTGGACCAGCCACAGCCCATGCAGGACACACAGGGCCAGCAGCCGGTCAGCTTCCACCGTCGCGTCCTGCCGCCCTCCGGGATCGCCTTTGCGAGCACGCGCGGTCGGGAGCTCTTTGCCGAGGCTCTGGCTGCCGGCACGCTCCACTGCTTCTTCAAGCTGATCGAGCAATTCTGCACGCAGGCCGAGCCAGCCTACTGCGGTCTCGGCACGCTGGTGATGGTGCTCAACGCGTTAGACATCGACCCCGGCCGCACGTGGAAGGGCCCGTGGCGCTGGTTCCACGAGGGAATGCTCGACTGCTGCGAGCCGCTCGAGGACATCCGCAGGCGAGGCATCACGTTTGACAAGCTCGCATGCCTCGCTCGCTGCAACGGTGCGGTCGTGGACGCGCGGCGCGCGAATGCGAGCGGCAGCAGCGGTGTCGTTGGCGGCAGCGAGGGCGGCGACGGCGAAGGTTCGCCGTCGCTGTCTGACGAGGAGCGGGCGTTCCGGGAGGCGGTCCGCTCGGTTTGCAGCGGGGACAACGCCGCCTGTTGCGGCGGCAGCAGCGGCAGGGTGCACCGCTTCCTCGTCGTCTCGTACTCTCGGCGCGAGTTTGGCCAGACCGGCGACGGCCACTTTTCTCCCGTGGGCGGCTACCACGCGGGGTCGGACTCTGTGCTGCTGCTCGACGTGGCCAGGTTCAAGTACCCGCCGCACTGGGTGGGGCTGCGCGCGCTGTGGCGCGCGCTGTGCCGGACGGACCCCGACACGGGCAAGACGAGAGGCTACCTGCTCCTCTCCGCGCGCAAGCCGGGTGCGCCCTGGCCGCAGACCTCCCGCCCGCCCACTGCCCACCGCTAGCACCCACACCTCGACCCCTGCCGGCGCCTCCCGGACGCGGCCCAAAGTGAGAAGGGACGCCCTCGCGCCGCTCAGGCGAGTCGCGCTCGGACGTCCTGCGCGTGGCTCTGCGCGGGCCGGCGGGCGGCGGGAGTGGCGGTGGCGGCGATAGCGGTGGCGGCGATGGCGGTGGCGATGGCCCCGCTCGGCACACTTGTGATCGGCTCGGGGCTTGCGAGCTGGCCGATGTTGGGTCTCGCTTCCTCGGGCAGCTCGCGCGGCACGAGGAGGGCGCGAAGCGGGCTTCGGCAGACGACGCTGCGCTCCTCGCCGCCCTCGCCACACTCGGAGGAGGAGGAGGAGAGGAAGGCCGAGGCGAGGCGCACCCTGCGCCTCCGCCACTACCCTTCTTCGTCGAGCTCCGCGGCGCGCCGTTAGCACGGCCAGGCGGCGAGGCGGCAGCAGGGCGCGACGAGGCGGCGGACCTTTCGCTCGAGTGCGGCGAGCGGTCCTGCTGCGCGGGCGGGGGCGCGGGCGAGGCGGACCCTTCGCTCGAGGGGTACTCTTCCCTCGAGGCAGAGGTGCTCTCTGCGCTTCGGAGGGCGGCGGACAGCGCGACGGGCGGCGAGGGCGGCGAGGGCGGCGAGGGCGGCACGGTCGCCGAGCCGGGCTCGGCAAGCCGCCCCTCCCTCCCTGCCCTCCTCCGCGCCTCAGTCGCGCGCGGCGACTTTGCGAGCGACGAGCTCGCTCTGGCGCACCTCCTCGCTCTGCCGCCCGCCCTCTGGAGCGCCATGGTGGCCGCCGCCGCCGCCGCGCCAGACGAGAGGGAACGCGGCGAGGCCGCCGCGCGGGCGGTGGCGGCGCGCCTGCCGCGCCTCGCCGCTCTCGCGCCGCCGCTCCAGCGCGAGGTGAGGGTGCTCCGCTCGCAGGTCGTCGAGGTGACCGGCGCGGGCACACACTTGGCAAGGGAGAGCGGGGGGTCGCTCTGCTGCGCCTTGCACGAGGTGTAGGGGCCGCATTTGGGGCCGCAGCTATACGTTTAGGACTAGGGTGCCCCGCACGGCGGCCGGCAATCTCCGGCACGCGAGATGTCGCGGGGGGGGGTGGGGAGAGAGGAGCGCTACCGCTAGCTGCAAGCGGATCTCTTTTCTCAGTCCCTCGCGTGCGCTCACGTCACTGCTCAAACTCTCTCGTCTGCCTAGTCTGTCGATGCTTCCCAGATCCCACTTCGCGTGTCGACTGAGACCGACGAGGGGCGCGCAGGGGGGGGAGTCCGAGTGTGAAGTGCTGTATATCGAAAAAAGCTGAGACACTTTTTTGACGCGTGTGGCCGTTGGGCTTTGAAAACAGCTCAGAATACAACTCGCTCAATGCAGTATGCACACACATGCACATCACACGGAGCTCCCCGCGCACAGCACGACGAGTGGGCTCTCTGCGCCTCCGGCCGAGACGGAACAACGACGGCGAAACGAGAGCGGAGGATATCCCTGCGGGACGCCGGAGCCCGAGTGGCCGTCCCGCCAATACTCAATGCAAATCAAATCTAGTGGCAGAGCCGGCGTCGTGCCTGACGCCATGCTGCCCTCGCGGGCCGGCGGGCCTGGGTGAGGGATCGCTCGCCGTAGAGAGACGGAGAGGGCGGAGAGGGAGGAGGAGACAGAGGTGGAGGGGGAGGGGGAGGGGAGAGAAGGAGAGAGAGAGGGAGAGAGGCGAGTGAGCGAGGGTCCAGCCGCAAGAGCGCGAGCAGGAGAGGGCTTCTGGCGGAGAGGCGAGGAGCGGACGGCGGCGGGCCGGCTAGCCAAAGTTCTTCTTGAGCTGCTCCATCACGATGAAGACGATGGTGACGCGAGGCACCACGCGGCCGAAGTTCGGCCAGAAGCCGTTGTACAAGGACATGGGCCCCTCCTTGGCCGAGCTCTTGAGGAAGCAGTCCACCATCCCGTCGTAGAGGGTCGGCTTGCCCGCCGCGTCGAGCGGCTGCCCCATCACGCGCGACTTGACCACGTCGAAGGGACTGCTCGCGACCGTGGAGACGAAGCCGGAGACGAAGGCGGTGGCGCACCTGCCGAGCCGACGCCACACGAGGTGAGCCGAGGGCACACCAAGTCGGCCGAGGCGAGCCGAGAGGGGGCGAGACGAAGGCGGGGGCGGGGGCGGGGCAGGGGCAGGGGCGGCAGGCGCACGTGCAGAGCAGCCCCTCGGTGAAGAGACCCTTGTGCAGGAACTGTGTCTTGACCTCGTCGTAGGTGGCGAGCTCGGCGGCGGCGAGGGCGGTCGCGCGGCCGCACGTCGGCCTGCACGAAGGGAGGGGACGAGGGTTGGGGGGGGGAGGTGGGGGGGGGGGGAAGCGGCACGGGGCGCCGCGGCGAGAGCTGAGGCGGCGGTGGTCGCGGTCGTGGCGGTGGCGGCGAGGGAACAGGGCGAGGGCGAGGGCGAGGAGTGAGGGCGAGGGAACAGGGCGAGGGTGAGGGCGAGGGCGAGGGTGGGGGTGGCGGAGGCGCGCACCCGACCCCCTTCCATAGCCCGAGCACGCCCTCCTCCTTGACGATGGAGGAGAAGGCGTGCCCCATGCCGGTGTACTTCTTGGGCAGGTAGGCGCCTGCGGCCGGGGCGAGGCGGCAGGCGCCGTCGGTGGGCGGGTGCAGTCGGACGCTGCAGTCGGACGTGTGTCGGTGGGACGTGTCGGTGGGGACTTGTCCCGGCTGCCGGTGGGACGTGTCGGTGGACGTGTCCTGAAGGTGGCGGGCACGCGCCGTCCGGCCCCTTGAGCTGTCCGTCGGTTTGCAGGCGCACCTGCCGACAGCACGGGAGTGGCACACGTCAGCAGCGGCGCGGCCCGCGGCCGAGGGCGGCGCAATGCGGGAGACGGAAGCGACAGAACGCCGGCCGTTGCTAGCCGCCGCTGCCGGTGTGCCGCCGGGTTGCACTAGCAGGCCCTCTGCGCCTTGACGAGGTCCGTCGGGTTGGCGACCGCAGAGGAGAGCGCGCCGGCGCCGGCGCCCGCCAAGATCTTCTTGCTCAGCGGAATCTCGTGCTTTGGTGTCCCGGGCTTGACGCCTGCCGGGCGCGCCGCGGGTGAGGCTCGGCCGGTGGGAGAGAGTGCGCTCCGGGCAGCGGCTGCGCGCCGAGCGAGTTGCGGATCGGGCCGTAGAGGCCGTACCGCAGCGAGCCGTACGTCGACTGGCGGAGCAGCGCCGGCGGAAGGCCCTTGAAGAGCGCCCCCGCGCCTTCGCTCTTGACGAGCTTCCCCGCGCAGTCCATCGTGCCGTTGTACAACTTGACGCCGCCGCCCGCACCGTCCATCTGGAGCCGGGTCTTGCACACGTCGATCGGCATCGTGACTACACCACGGCGTCAGCGTGAGCGGCGGGTGGTGGGTGCGGCCAGCGGAGCGTGCACACCCGTCTCGGCGACGCACGAGGCGAAGCCGCCGTAGAAGAGGCCCTTGAAGACGTTGCCGCTGTCCATGGCTCAAGTATATGCACCTACGACGTGTTTGCACAGCTAGTGATGCAACAGCAGGTGGCGGCACCTAGTGTGCCCGCTGCCGCGCCTGGGCCTCTGCCTCTCTCGTCTCTCTGACCTTCGCTGCCCGCCTATTTTTTCGCTTGTCGATGTCTCCGTTCTACCAGCTTCCAAAGAACGAAAGAATTCACCTACGGCCACACACAACAAAACCACAAAAGAATTCGCCGCCGCAGGGTGGTGGCTATGCTCGTAGGCGCTGTGCGGAGACGCGAGGGTCGGTCGGCTCTCAACTATAGCTATAGTAGCGATCTGCCTGCATGCGTGAGAGGCAGGTGCCGCCATCACTTTTTTTGAAAAGCTGCAGACGAGCGGCACGTCTATGTGCCCACCTTCCCATACACCAACCCCGCCCGCCACCTCGCCAGCCTGCGGGCCGGGATGCACGTGTGGGGGGGCAAGACGAAGCGCAGGCGCGGCCGGGCGCGGAAGCCTGCCTCAACCAAGCCGCTGCCACCCTCGGGCGGGTCGGCGTCAACCGAGCCTCTCCCGCGCACACTCGTAGACCTACAAGATTCGACGCGCAAAAAAATGTTTAGCGTGACATGTATCATGTTGTGTGTGTCGCTGCTGTGTGACCGTCACCGCCCGTCCCGCGTCCACCCATACCGCGTTGGTGTCCCAGTCGTTGGTCGGACTGTGTTTCGCCTTACTATCAAGATTCGACGCGCCAAAAGATGGGGGCACACAACATCCCTGGGTGGTGGCGGCGTGTGCCATCCTCCCCCCCATCCTTTCCTTTTTGGTTGCAAGTCTGTCTGTTTCATACAAGACCGTGCTGCAAGGTGGGGACTCTGTCCTTGGGCGGAAATAGGAAAAAATCTTCTGCAGACGCGTTATTATCTGATTAACATTACCGACACCGCGTGCCCGCCGCGCCACGCTGGCAATCCCCATGAAGAACCTTGCGTTTTTCGTGATTTGGATTTGCCTCGCTCCCGCGGCTGGCTTCGGTGCCTCGGGAAGCTGGGGAAGCTGTGCCGCAGAATATCGGCCTTTCCATTGCTCGGTTTTCCGCAACGATTGCCGCGAGGGAACGAAAGCGACTGGATATCTTGACCCTCCCGACGGATGCAGGTGCTGGTGCTGCTGGGATACCGACGGCAACTTCTGTGGTCGGGACGACTAAGTCCGGCGGTACGTCAGCGACACGTACACGTTCGCTGCTGCGCCGTCGACCCCCTCGGATGCGGGGCGCTTGCGGGAGAGCACGCTGCCGCCGCGCGCGCACGCGTGGGATTGTCATGGGAGTGAGGTTGGGGGCACGGGGCGGGGATGTAGGATGACGGGCAGCAGGGTCTCATCAGGCCAACCGCGAGGGCCAGTACACGGATGTGCGAAGGCGAGGCGGATGCCGTTTGCTGTACCTGCGCTGAGCCGCTACGCCATTCACCCTTGTGGGGACCCGCTGGCCAGCTGGGTGAAAACCCAAGGGTGAAGCCTGGAAGCCCTCGCCAGCGCATACCCGCGTATAACATACGTGCCTCCAAGATACATCACATAAAATCTGCCGGCCGCCGACGCTCGCAGCTCACAGCTCACAGAATTCCGCCGTTGCTCAGGCAAGTCGAGAGCTCGTAGGCGGCGACAGCGGCGCCGTTGAGCGCCGACGCCGCCCGCCTCACGCAGGAGCCCATCTCGGCGCCAAGCGCAGCGAGCGGGTCCTCCTCCGCCTGCTCGCCGCCGCTGAGAAGGCCGTTGACCTCCTCTAGGAGGCTTGCGAGGAGGTGGCCACGGCGCCTCGCCCACTCCTCCGGCTGCCTCACCGCCGAGCTCAGCGCACGAGTCCACACGAAGGCGACGTACCTGCTCACGTCAGAGCTCGACATCAGCGTGAAAACCGTGCAGAGTGGCCACCCTCGAGGGCCGCCACACCGGAGGGCCAGCCGGCACACGCGCCACGGTGACTTGACAAGGCACCGGCCGAGCAGCTTCGTGACGTCGCGCGTCAGCGGCGCCAGGCACTCCTTGAGCGGCGGCGGCGCGCCGGCGGGCGCGACGCCGAGGCCCGAGAGGCAGAGCGACGAGCCCCAGTGCACGATGGGCGCGCGCGAGCGTCCCCACTCGTCGAGGTGCAGCGCCGCCGCGGCGAGCGCGTCGAAGACGGAGACGCCATCCTCCTCGGCCGACCACGCCGAGACGGCGACCGTCTCTCTCAGCTGCGCCGCCAGGTTCCGAACGTCGGTGCTCACGAGCTTGGCCGCGCTCTCTGCCCAGACCGGTGCGCTGCGCAGGTGGCTGGCGACGTGGCTGTGGCTCTCGAGACCCTCACCCATGGTGCCCATTGCAGCAGCGCGCGAGCCAAGCCTAGCGATGCCGAGGGTGAGCGCCGAGGCGGCGCCGGCGGCGATGAAGAGCAGCAGGAGTCGTAGGAGGAACGGATCAAAGGACACCGCCGTGCGGTGACGGTGCGTCCTCGTGGTGCGAACAATGACGATGGAGGCGCGTCGCGTGAGGTTCTCGCGTCTGACGCTGACACGCGGCAGCCGCGTCCACGACGCTGGTGAGTCGGCCAGTGCTTCCGATTCGGTCTCGATGTGAACCCCGAGCCGGTGCCAGTGCGTCCTCATGACCGCCGGCTCGCTTTTTGTTTTGCGTAGCGCCGGGCTCGATTGCCGCTGATCTGCGTTCGAGAGCGACGGCGGCGACGTGTGCCGCCGTCGAGGCGCGCTCTTCCTGGCGGCGCACATGCTGTGCATGTGGGTGTTATTTTGTGTTTCGTGAAAGAGAAAAAAACGACGACGCACGCCGCCACCAAAAGGGATTTTAATCTGGGTCCACCTGGGGCGACCGACGTATTTTCTTCTCAATAACAAGGTCTGTGAACCTCAACCTCTCACAGTGTCACAGTGAACCTCAACCTCTCAGAAGAAAGAAAGAAGGAAAAACAGAGAGAGAGAGAGAGAGAGAGAGAGAGAGATAAAAACAGACCAACCCAACGAGGGATGGGGGAGGAGGACAGGGTCCACACCTGCACGAGCAGGATTTTGGAAGGACGATCAGGGGCACAGGTGGGGCTCTCCTGCTCCTGACAAGGGACACGACAGGCCGTCCTCGCAGCGCGGTGCACGGTGGACTCCCAACTCAACTGGCGGTCTCATGACATCTCAGTCTAGCGACCTGCCTCCAGCTTCTCTGTTCTCACTGGCAGTCTCTCGCAACCTCAACCTCTCAGACACAGTGTCACAGACAAGAGAGGAGGTATCCTTCCTTCTCAATAACAAGGCCTGTGAAAAACGTCGACCCGCTAAATAGCTAGAGGCCAACAACATACCTAAAATCTCTTCGCGCAGCGGGACGGCGGGCGGGACTGCAGGTGTAAATCACGTCCCCTCCGTCCACCTCCGCCGGTCTCTCTCTTTATCAGTGCTAAGTTCCGGTGGCGCTCGATGACTCTTAGTCTCTTACTGGCTCTGGCTGCCACCCTGCTCGCACGCGCCTCACAATAGCACAGACGCCGTTGCCTCCACACCAGACGGCCATCACGTCTGGGTCAACAGCCGATCGGACGCACGCTCTACCGCTCCGATGACGGCCTCACATGGCAGCCGCACTTGGCCGCCCTGCATTGTGCCCTCTTGTCACCAGTGTGCAATCTTTACCGGTATGAGACTGGTATTTGGCGATATTTTGATTAGTTTTGGAGTGGTATGGTATAGTGGTATGCGAAAGTGGTATGCGGGGTTTTCAGTAGTTGTAGCGGCTGTCGGTGTGGTCCCGGGGGCGAAACCATGCAACAGTGCGGGTATTACCCGGGTATACCCGGGTTTTTCCAGGTATACCCGCAAAATACCCGGTATTTTGCCGATTTTGCCGATTTTGCCACCAAGAAGGCACTCCGACTCGCTTTGATTTCCGTGAGGCAACTGGTATCCCGTACCACTTTTTGATTAGTGCAGGCCTTGGGTTTGATTAGCCAAAAACTCCCATACCGGTAAAGATTGCACACTGCTTGTCACCACTCGTGTTCGCTCGTTATTTTCAGTGTCGTCACTTTTCTGTTAGTGCCTGTGCGCGCCAATCCCGTGTGCCCAGTGTCGTGCCTTTTCTGTGTTAGTGCCAGTGCTCGCCAGCAGCTGTCGCCAGTCCCGTCGCTACATTTATTGTCAGTTTTTCTCGTGTTTCAAGTGCTCAAGGAGATACACACTCGGCGGCACGAGGGTGTTAGTGCCAGCGCGCGCCATTCCCGTCCGCGTCAAATTCTTTTCTGAGACAACAGGGTTTCGGCTCCTAGCCGGATAGGGGGTCTGTCGCCACTGACTCGCGCCAAAACGCCCTACCTACCTACCTATCCCCAGGCCGCGCAGCGAAGCAAAAAAGATGAAAATTGGGGATACCTACCTATTGCAGGTCCCTTTTGGGCGAAACAAGACCAACCTACCTACCTATCTGGGAGGGCGGCAGACCCCCTATCCGGCTAGGAGCCGGAACCCAGGGTCAACCAGAGTCGGCGCGGTGTCTGAGCCGCGCCACTCGACACACAAGGGCTCCACCCCACTGATCCCGACCATGCGAGCCGGCATCCTCGTGCCGCCGCAAAACTTTGGCCTCGTCGAGGACGGCCTCTACCGCTCGGGGCAGCCGACTGAGCTATCGTATCCGTTTCTTGAGCAGCTGCAGCTGCGCACGATCCTGCATCTAAGCGCTGACGAGCCGCCCGCGGAGTTTGCGTCCTGGGCGAGCGAGCAGCGCATTCAGCTGGTGCGGCTAGGCGCCGGCGCCGACGCCAACATGCTCTCGCCGTGGAAGCCGGTCTCGGAGGTGAGCGCCCTCGCCGTGACGCCGTCACTGCTCGCCGCTGCCACGACCACCAGCGCCGCGCTCGCCACCGGTGCGGACTCCTGCCACTCTTTCGAGTAGGAGGTCGTCGTCGAGGGGTTGCGTCGCGTGCTCGACCCGTCGTCGTACCCGCTGCTGGTGATGTGCAACCTCGGCCGCCACCGCACCGGAACGCTCATCGGCTGCCTCCGGAAGCTGCAGCGCTGGTCGCTGACGAGCGTCCTCGAGGAGTACCGCCGGCACGCGTGCGCAAAGTCGCGCCACCTCAACGAGCAGTTCATCGAGCTCTTTGACATCGACCTCGTGCGCGTCCCGGAGCACAGCCCGCCGCAGCTCCACCTGCAGGCGGAGCGGGGCAAGCCGGCGGGGTAGGCGTCGTGCGGGTCAATATCATTCTTTATCGCGCCAGTCCCCGTGCCCAATGTCCTGTAAAATTCTTTATCCCGCCATCCCGCCAAGAACTGTCGCCTCCATGTCGTTGCCGTCAGCTAAGGCCGCCGGAGCAGCAGCTCGCGACGCTGTTGCCACGCCTTCGCCCGGCTCTCTCGACGCGAGCCTGATGCCTTTCCAGCGGGAGGGCGTGCGCCGCATCCTGGCGTGGGACGGGCGCGCCCTACTCGGCGACGAGATGGGTCTTGGCAAGACGCTGCAGGCCATCGCGGTCGCTCGGCACTACCGGCGAGAGTGGCCGCTGCTCGTTCTCTGCCCGACGTCCATGGCTCACACGTGGGCGGACGAGCTGGAGCGCTGGTGTCCCGAGCTCGTTCCCGGCCAGATCAACCTCATCAAGAGCCACCACAACGGCGCGCTCTCCTCCGCCGCCGTCACCATCCTTACCTACGGGCTCGTCACCAACGGCAAGGAGAAGGAGCGGCTCGTCGCGAACGTGATGGCCGCCGGCTTTGCGGTTGTGATCGTCGACGAGGCGCACTACCTCAAGACGCGCGACTCTGTGCGCACGAAGCTCATCCTCCCCCTTCTCGCGGCGGCGCAGCGCTGCGTCATGCTCACCGGCACGCCCGCGCTCAACCGGCCTGTCGAGCTGTACCCGCTGCTCAGCACGCTGCGGCCGCAGCAGCCGGCGTGGCGCACGTACAGCGCCTTCGTGCAGCGCTACTGCGCCGCGAAGCCAACCTTCTTCGGCGGCCGGCGCGGGCTCGACGTGAGCGGCTCGTCGAACGAGGCCGAACTGTACGCGCTGCTCTGCGAGACGCTGATGGTGCGGCGGCTCAAGGCCGAGGTCCTCGACGAGCTGCCTCCGAAGCAGAGGCAGCGCGTGCTCGTCTCGCTCCCGCCGCAGGCGCGGCTCGCACGCCTCACGAACGAGTCAATCGGCGAACCGCTCACCCTTGCACCCTCCGCACCCCCCAGGCGACGCTCGCGCTCGACGCCATCACCCGCGAGGCGGACGCGCTGCCGAGCGGGCCGTCGTTCGAGCGGCGGAGCCTGCTCTCCAAGTCTGTCGTCGAGTTGGCCGCAGCGAAGGCCGCGCTGACGGCCGAGTACGCGCTCGAGCTCGTCGCCTCGTGCGAGCGGCTCCTCTTCTTCGCGCACCACATGACGGTGCTGGACGCGGCGGAGCGCGCCGCCGCCGGCAAGGCGGGCGCCTCGCCGCTGCCGCCCTCGTCGCCGCTCACTTCCCTCCTGCCTCTCTCCCCGCCGCCGCCCGCCCCGCCCGCTGCGTGACTCGCTCACGCCGCCGCCGCCCTCACCGCCGCCGCCCGTGCCGCCAAGGGGGTGCGCTGCTTGCGCATCGACGGCACGACCCCCTCGAGCGAGCGGCAGTCGCTCGTGCGCGCCTTCGAGGCGGCGCCGCGCGGCTCGCCCGTCCTCTTCCTCCTCTCGATCACCGCCGCCGGCCAGGGGATCACGCTGACGAGCGCCTGCAACGTGTGCTTTGGCGAGCTGCGCTGGGTGCCGGGCGAGCTGCTCCAGGCGGAGGACCGCGCGCACCGGATCGGCCAGGCGAACGCGGTCAACATCTTCTACGTGTGCGCAAAGGGGACGGTGGACGAGGCGCGGACCGGCGGCGGCAGAGGGCCGAGGGCGGTGCGGCCGTGACTCCGCGCCGCGTGGCCGGTAGGCGATGTGGCGCGTGCTGCAGCGCAAGGTGCGCACGCTCGCCACCGCGCTCGACGGCGAGCAGCGGACGCTCACGGCGGGGCGGGCGGCGTGGGAGGGCGAGGGCGGGGGCGCGGACGGGGCGGAGGGGGAGGAGGACCCGGCGGAGGCGGCGATGTGCCTCGACCGCGCGCGCAAGGCGCAGCGCGCCGCCGCGAAGAAGGCGGCCGACCGCGCTGCTTTCGGCCAGCTCTTCCGCCCCCGCGCCGCCTCCACGCCCGGCGGCGGCAGCAGCGCTGGCCGGGGCGGAGGAGGCTCTCCTTGCCGAGCATCCTGGCGGAGGGCGCCTCTTCACACCTCCAGCCGTGAGCAGGCGGCTCTCTCGCGGCGTCGGCGGGCGCGGGGACGCCGGAGCAGCCGATCGATCTCGACGGTGGGGAGCCGTCTCGCGACGGGAAGCGCGGCGCCGCCGCCTCCACTCCGGAGTCCGAGGCGGAGATGACGACGTGGTTCGCCTTCTCGGCTCTGACCGGCCGGCTGCACGCTTTCGGCGACGCTCCAGAGCCGCTCCCTGGTGGGATGGGCGCGAACGCGCTGCCGTGCGCCATCGCCGACGCCGACGAGGCCGCGCTGCCCGCCGCGCTGCGCGAGCCTCGCGCCCTCCGCGCCGCACAGCTCTGGCTTGCGCAGTGGGAGGGGCTGTCGCCGAGCCAGCGTGCGGCCGTGCAGGACCGCCCCGCTCCACTCCAGCTCCACTCCCTCGCCCAGCCTGCGCCTCTCCCCCGCCCTACTCCCACCCGCCCCCTCTCGCCGAGCGCAGGACCGGCCTGTCAAGAGCCCCGCGCTGGCGGCGTCCTCCGCGGCGGCCGCCGGCAGCAGCAGCACGACAAGCCACGCCCCGAGCACCGTGCGACAGACCACGGTCCCCTGCGGGGGGAGGGAAGCGGAGCTGTGTGCAGGGTGCACGTGTCGACGCGCCGCCGCCGCACCCGCCCGTAGGCCGAGCGTTGGGCAGAGTCGCACCGGCCGCCCGGCGTCGTCGAGGTGGACTACGTCACTTGCGACTGGAAGACGAGCGGCGCGCGGTTGCCCCCTCGCGACACGCCTCGAGGAGCCTTCCACGACCCTTCCCGGAACCTTCCCAGGCGTGCGCGACCCGCGCGTCTGGCGGCAGCACTTCTCGCTCCACTCGGGGCGGCCGCTCTGCCTTGTCTGCGTGCAGGAGCATGAGCCGCGGCCCGACTCGCCCTTCTGCTCCGAGGGCTGCGCCGCAAGCTACGCCGCCGCCAGCTCGCAGGGCGCGGGCCGCCGGCAGGTCGGCCGCTCTCTCCGCCCCAACCCCCTCCCGTCCCGCGCCGCCTACGCCTCCCTCCCTCCACCGCCCGCCCCGCCAAGGTGTACGACCGCGACCGCGGCGTGTGCGCCGCGTGCGGCTTCGACGCGCACCGGCTCTACCGGCAGATCGCCGCGCTGGCGACCGGCCCCGAGCGCATGCAGGTCGCGCCAGCCTGCGGCCCGCGCTCCACGCCTGGCCCACTCCCAACATCCCGGGGGATGCGACCGCAGGCGCTTCAGCGGACGCACTACCCGACCAAGGGCGACCGGATCGGCCGCCTGCTGCGGGACCCCAAAGAGGGCGACTTTTGGGAGGCCGACCATATCCTACCGGTGGAGGAGGGCGGCGGGGAGAGCGACCTGAGCAACCTGCAGACCCTCTGCGTCCCCTGCCACGCCGACAAGACGCGCCGGCAGGCGCAGAGCAGCAAGGAGCGCAAGCGGCAGGCGGCCGCAAAGGGCACCGCCGACCTGCGGAGCTTCTTTGCGGGCAAGGCCTAGAGATAGACACATCGACACGCAAGAGTGTCAAGTGTGACAAGACTCAAGTAGTCTCAGTCAAGACGCACTCGTTTCGAGAGAGACGCGATGGCGAACATTTACGCTAGTCCCCATGTCCATGTGTGTGCAAAAAAAACCGCTCGATTTTCACATTTACCACCCACAGCGTGTTTGCATGCACGCGCCGCATGTGCGCACCGCGCCACCACAGCACGTGTATTTTTTGGTTTGCGCGGTGTGTCTGCGGAGAGCGCAGACAGCCAGACACACAGCCACACAGGGGGACATAAACAAAACAGAAGTAACACATCCGCATATCGGCGAGCTCTACAAACATCACGATATCGCGCGTCATTCTAGCATCGAATAAGACAACCCCTTAGTAGGTAGTACACTGTACAGCTCCCCTCCACCCATTCACCTTCCTTCTCCGAGAAGCCTTCTGGGTCTGGCGGGCGGTGGGATCTGGCTCACGCGCACGTAGTCACGATGTCAGCAGCTCTTTCCCCGTGGGAGCGCTCCGGGCCGGAGAGCGGCTCTCGGCTCACGCGCCGACCCTGCTTCCACTCCTCCTGGTACGCTGCGCCGCTGGCCTCCACAAAGATGGCGTAGCCGTGCGGCTTGCCATCGCAGTATTCGCCCTGATGCTTCGCGCCCGAGCTGAAGTAGTACGTCCCTGTGCCGTGCTTCTTACCCGCGCGCCACGAGCCACCGTAGCAGTCCCCGTTGGCGTAGTGATAGACGCCGTGCGAGGGGAAGGAACCTCCGTTCCAGACGCCATCCAGCCGCTCGCCATTGGGGTAGGAGAATGCGCCAGGCCCGTCTGGGTTGCCGTTCGAGTACTGCCCTGAAAAGACCTTGCCCGAGCGGAAGAAGTAGCAACCTTCGCCGCTGGGCCGGCCGAGCTGCCAGCCCCCGACGTACCGGTCGCCGTTGACGTAAGCGTACACCCCTTGGCCGTGCTGCTTCCCAGCCGCCCACTCGCCCGTGTACTTGTCCCCGGAGGTGTAGTAGTACGTGCCGTGACCCTCCCTCTTCCCGGTGCTGGAGAGGTCTCCGACGTAGCGGTCTCCGTTCTCAAACTCGCTGTTGCCTCGCGCAGGCTCGCCCTCGAGCATACGCTCTCGCTCCGCTGGCATCGTTGCGTCCACGCTGAGGCAACGTGCGTCCTCCGCACGCAGCAAGGAGAACCGCAAAGTCGTAGTTTATGCGGGGCGCCGCCTTTCAAACCCCGCGCCGCCCCACCGCACCCCACCCGCTGTGAGCTCCCCACCCCTAAGAGGTTCAGAGCGCGAACACTGGGGGGTCCCTCTCGCATGGGGGGCTGAAGATACGTGCCACTCGCCAGCCTGTTCACTCGCGTACGACTCGCACTCATCATAGCAAGCAGCCGCCCCCCGCATCCGACGCAGCCCGGCGGGCGCGGCGGTAAGAAAGAAAGAAAGAAAACAGACAACCCAAGGGAGGGATGGGAGGACGGCACGCCGCCACCACACAGGGATTTTAAGGAGAGGGGTGTGATGCGCTAGCCGTCGCCCACCCTAGGGAGTCTGCCTCTTCCTATCTCTTTTCGCAGTCTCTCGCCGCTTCTCGCTGCAACCTTCATGCCACCTCGCGGCGGTAAAGAAAAGAAAGAAAGAAAACAGACAACCCAAGGGAGGGATGGTGGGAGGACGGCACGCCGCCACCACACAGGGATTTTAAGGAGAGGAGTGTGATGCGCTAGCCGTCGCCCACCCTAGGGAGTCTGCCTCTTCCTATCTCTTTTCGCAGTCTCTCGCCGATTCTCGCTGCAACCTTCATGCCACCTCGCGGCCGTCCCACTCTCGTCGTTCTCGCGGCGGTGGCCCCGCACATGCCGGCGGGTATTTCTTTTTTCTCACGGAGCTCGAAGCCGAGCTACACAGCACGCGACCTCCCTACTCACAGATATGGCGCTTCTCCTCTCCTCGCTGACGAGCGGCCTGACGATCGGAGCCGCGCCGCGCCCTCACGTTGCGCGCGCCGGCATGCCGACCGCTGCGCTTGTCGCTGATGACGACAAGGTCCTCACCGGCGCCTGCAAATGGTTCAACTCGGAGAAGGGCTTCGGGTTTGTCTCGGTGGAGGGCGAGGACCAGGATCTCTTTGTGCACCAGACCGAGATTTACGCGGACGGCTTCCGCTCGCTCGCCGAGGGTGAGCCGCTCGAGTTCAAGTGCACCGAGGACCCGCGCACCGGCAAGCTGCGCGCGATGGGCGTGACCGGCCCCGGCGGCTCTGTCGTGCAGGGCGCCCCGCGCCGGGACGACTGGTAGGGTGGCGTCGAGTGGCAGGAGGTGGCCGCCTCGCGCCGCCCTGCACTGGCGGTCGCACCCGCTGGGTAGGACTCTTACTCTTACTCACTCCCCCTCTCTCGCCCCTCTCTCTCGACCTCCCCCTCTCCCCCTCTCCTCTCTCGCCCCCTCCCTCTCGCACTACTACTCGCTCGCTATCCTAAATGGCTGGTGCCCTATCCGCTGCCCCTGACGGGTTGGGTCTGGGCGTGTATGTGCGGTCGGGCTGGCGCGGGCCCGGTCTGGCGCGGCGGTGCATAGGGCTCATAGGGCCGCTGTGGGCGCTGGGCCCACAGGTGTGAGGAGAGCGTTGTAGGTGTACATGGCGAAGAGCCGGAGGGATCGCCCGTGTACACCGCCCGTCCCATATTCCTCTTTTAGCCGCGAACGCCCTCGCAGTCGCACGCGCCTCATATCATGCTCTCTCAAGCCACAAGCGTCCCAGCTCCCCACCAGCACCTCAGCGGAGCAGACGAGACCACCAGCACCACTGGTCCACCACCACCAGACTACCACCACCACCCTATCCCTACCTGCCACACACCTCGTGGTCGTGCGCCCTGGCCCTGGGGGGGCGGGTGAACGGAACGGGCCCCGCGGCCGACCGCCCGACTGGTCGGACACAGTCACGTGATGCCGGACTGAAGCGTTGACACTGTGAAGAGGCAGAAAGCCCCAGAAATCATGCTGGCGCGGCCTCTGGGCAGGGCCGCATCGCGGAGGCTGCCCAATGCGGCCCTGCGCACGACGCAGAGGCACGTGAGCAACTATTTCGGGCGGATGAGCACGCCATGGAACCCGGTGCGCTCATCGTCGCTGTCGGCTCAACAGAGTGTGCGGGTTGCTGACGGGCGACGCCCCTCCCGCCTCCGCAGGGCATCGTCGTCGTGCCTCAGCAGATGGCCTGGGTGGTGGAGACATTCGGGCGGTACGACAAGGTGCTGGAGCCGGGCCTCCGCTTCCTGATCCCGCTGGTGCAGCGCGTGTCTTACGTCTTTTCGCTCAAGGAGGAGGCCATCTCTGTTCCGAGCCAGACCGCCATCACCCGCGACAACGTGAGCGTGTCCATCGACGGCGTGCTGTTCGTCAAGGTGACGGACGCCTACCGCGCCGCGTACGGCGTCGAGGACCCCCACTTTGCCGTGACCCAGCTCGCGCAGACGACGATGCGGTCCGAGATTGGCAAGATCACCCTCGACCGGATGTTCGAGGAGAGGGAGGCGCGCGACGCCCCGCCTCCCCGCCCCACCTGGCGGTTGCACCGCCCCTCTTCCCCCGCGTCACACGCCTACCACGGCGACACCAGGTGCTCAACGTCAACATTGTGTCGTCGATCAACGCCGCAGCAGCCGACTGGGGCATCCAGTGCTTACGGTACGAGATCCGCGACATCACTCCGCCTCGCGCGATCCGCGCGGCGATGGAGATGCAGGCCGAGGCGGAGCGGCGCAAGCGCGCGCTCGTCCTCGACTCGGAGGGCGAGAAGGACGCCGAGGCTCGCAGAGGACACTTCCAGAGACACGTCCGAGACACGTCCGACACGCGCCCGTCTCATGCACATGTCTGAGAGAGTGGGCACACAGCCTCTCTCTCGGCGAGTGGCTGGCCCGTATGCCCAGCCGAGAAGCCCACCGCTGCCGCGCGCGCTGCCGTCGCCGCCGCCGGCACCTCCTCCCTCTCCGCCTCTCCGACAGCCCGGCACCGCCTCTCGCCTCGCAGATCAACATCGCCACCGGTAAGAAGATGTCTCGCGTCCTCGCCTCGGAGGCCTCGATGCAGGCGAGCAGACACCTCCCCAGACACCCCCACGAGACTCCTCCCAGGGCATCCCACCAAACACAAGACTCCTCCCAGACACCTCCCAGACACCTCCCAGACACCTCCCAGACACCTCCCAGATACCTCCCCACACACCTCCCCACACACCTCCCACACACCTCCCACACACCTCCCAGACACCTCCCAGACACCTCCCACACACCTCCCACACACCTCCCACACACCTCCCCAGACACCTCCCCAGACACCCCAGAGCCTCCGCCCGCCCCTCTCGGCAGGAGCGAATCAACCTCGGCAAGGGCGACGCGGCGGCGGTGGAGGCGCACGCGCAGGCGACTGCCGAGGCGACGCGGCTGGTGGCTGGCGCCTTGGGTGCGCGCGACGGGCACGCGGCCACCTCGCTGCGGCTCGCGGAGCAGTACGTGAACGCCTTCAAGGGCATCGCTCAGGCGGGGAGCACGGTCGTGGTGCCCGCCAACGCAGCGGACGTCGGCTCGATGGTGGCGCAGGCCATGTCGATCTACAAGCACACCCTCCACTCCAACCCCGCCGCCGCCGCAGCGCCTGGCCCGGCCGAGCGCGCCGAGGCAACCGGCAGCACGGCGCTCGAGGCGGCGGGCGGCGAGCTGGCGGCGGCGGTGGCGGCAGACGCGGCGGATGCGCCGGAGGATGCGGGCGCGGCGCCTCTAGCCGACGGCGGCGAGACGCGCGGCGATGGCACTCCGAGGTGACGTGTGCCGGCGTGCACGTGGGGGGGCGACACGGCTGTCGGCCTGTCCCATGCGTCGCGTTCGCTTGAGCCGGGGGGGTTGAGCAAGCGGCACACGAAGGCGGGGGGAAAGGGGAAGACTGCATTCACGCGCATGTGGTGGTGAGGGAGGGAGCGTCGGTGTTGGCGCGAGGTGTGAACATTGCTAACCTATTGTGTCTCGTCGGCGTGTCTCGCGTGGGGCGCGATAAAGCTAACAAAAATTTCTATTAATTATTAATAACACACCGAGTATCAAAATGCGCGGCGGACGGGGGAGGGGGGACAACACATAAAATCAGCAATCTCACACAATTTGTGTCGTCAAAGCAAGGCCAAAAAACACAATCATACGTCATCGTTTTCATGATCATATTAGATCTGACAAAAAAGGCAGCGCACGTGTGTGCTTTGGCCTTCTTGCGCCTCATTTCGCTCGAGAATGGAGAAACGAGAAACTCGTCTCCCGCAGTCCGCACCAGCCACCACACACGCACGAGACCGACACTGGAAGCGGAACCGGAGAGAGCGTGTGGCAGGTGTGCGTTTCGCGCCTTTCCAAGCAGGGGCGGGAGGGTTAGTCCAGCGACAAGGTCGACCCCGCCACACACTTGGTCTCATACTTGTCTAGCGCGGCCGCGAGGAGCCGGGTCTGCTCTATCCGCCGCTCCAGGAGGTTGCGTAGTCCTCTGGTGTACGCCTCCATGTCGCCGTCGCGTTGAGCCGCCTCGAGGAGCGTCGTCTCCGTCGTCAGCGCATCGGAGCTGCGGCGCACTGCCAAATCGGCAGCCTCGAGGAGCGCCTCCTCGGCGTCGAGGAGCACCTTGGCAGCCTTGTGGGCCTGCAGCTGCTCCGCAGAGTGGCGAGGCCTCTCGGAGGGCACAACCCCCTCTGAGCCACGCCACGCCCCGGTCTCGGCACCGCAATCTTGCTGCGGCCGTCGCGGGGCTGTTTGCGGGGAAACGCGAGGCTTCGGAGGCAACCGCGCGGACGGCGGCGGAGGGTGCTGTTGAGGGTGCTGCTGCTGGGTTGGATCAGACGGAGACAGCGTCGCTCCGACGGGTTGTGGCGGCGGCGGCTGCAACGGTGGTGGTGACGGCTGCTGATCGAGCTGTTGCTGTTGCTGCGGCGGCGGCGGCGGCGGCGGTGGCCCCTGAGAATCGAGCTCTTGCGTCTGAGCTGGGGGCGGCGGCGGCGGCGGCCGCGGCCGGTGAGAGCGCCGCCGAGGTGGCTGCGGCTGCGGCTGTGGCGGCTGGGCCTCCTGCCGATCCATCGCCTGCCAGTCCTTTACACGCTCGGCGTAGCGAAGGGTGTTGAGGGAGTGCTCGCAGCACACGGAACAGGGCGAGATGGTGGCGATCATGACGGTGCGAGAGTTCTCGCCGACGAAGGAATCTTTGAGCAGCTGCGTGAGCTTCGAGCCCCGAAAGGGAACGTGCGACGACTGCGAGCCGAGGGCACGGATGCACTCCTTGAGGCAGAGCAGCGACTTGTTGATCTCTGCGCCGTCTAGTCGGTTCTGACGGTCGTCTGACTGCGCCTTGGCGGCCCATTCGGAGCCGGCAAGGTCGACGAGCGAGAGCTTGCAGCGGACGCTCTCCGAGGCAGGCTCTACCACCTCGATCTGCAGCACCGCGTGCGATCGCGAGGAGTGCGTGTTTTGGGCTGTCGCGCGAGTGGTGCGGTCCGAGGTCGAGAGCAGCAGCAGCAGTTCCTCAGCCGACGCGAGGGTCGACTGGTGCAGCCCCACGACGTGCTGCGCGCCGTGCTCATCCTCCATCACCTGCACGCTCCTCTTTTTGTTGAGCAGGTCAAAGCACTTCCCTCGATAGATCTCGAAGAAGCCCGCCCGCACGGTCAAGCCGCCGCCCGCCCCTCTCACATTCCTGAAGAGGTCGTCGGCAACGAGGGAGTAGATGCCGGCGCTGTTGTCGCCCTCGCCGCTGCCGAGGCCCTCCATCGTCATCGTCTTGCCTGATCCTGTCTGGCCGTACGCGAAGCAGGTGCCGTGACCGCGGCTGGCGAAGAGATGCTCGACCATGGGCCGGACGGCGCTGTCGAACACCTGCTGGTTGGTTGCACTCTCGCCGTACACGCCGTCGAATTTGTACGTGTGGTTCTCCATGGCGCGCGAGAGGTCGACGGTCACCTTGGGCTCATGCGCCACGAGCGAGGCTCGAGCCGTCTCCTCCTCGCCGCAGGTCGACACGACGTCGAAGCCCCCCCGGCGCAGCTCCTCATCGAGAAGCGGCCGCTTGCGCACAAAGACAGACAGGCTCGCCCTCGATGCGGTGTCGCGCACAGAGACGGACACGGAGGGTGGAGCACCGGCCCGGTAGCGCGCGATCATCGCCTGGAACACGCCCTCGTCGCCGGCGAGGCCGCGCTGCTCCGCCCACCGCTTGTCTTCAGGCTTTGCCTTCACGACTTTGATTGTCGCCGGAGAGGACTCTAAGTCGCGCCGGGGCATGGGGCGCGGTGCCGGCGGCGGATTCCGTGGCTCGGGAGCCCACGCCTGGGTACGGTGGGCGCGAACCTGAATGCCGGCCTCCTCCACGGTGCCGGACTCACGCCGGAAGCGGCAGGCTGGCACACCCTCCTCGCGCAGTCCGTCCTTGACGTAGACCAGGGAGTAGGTCCCGTCCTCGCGCACGTTCTCGATTTTGGCCTCATGAAAATAGCCCAGCCCGCCAAAGTCGGCTAGCACGTGCTGCCCGACGCGGTAAATAGGCAGGGTCGCGGGGTCCATAAGTGCTGCGGGTGAGCTCTCCCTTCAGCACGCCACAAGCACGCAGGACAGCAGTGATAGGGCTGCAAACGCGGACTCAGGGGAGCACGGCGCTGGCGTGGGCGAGCAACTAGCTCTCCCGCGCGTTCCGGCCCGCGGGCCGTTGCCCAGAGTCGTTTCGGAGAGTTTTTTCATACGAGTAGCCGCTGCTGACGGGGTTTGCAATGAGGAGAGCCAAAGGGGGGGTTTCGGGAAAAAATTAGCCCGTTCTCGATGTCCCGGCGGGGCGGCGGGCGCTTGCCTCGCTCGCTCCGCTCCGCGATCCCTCTCTCTTGATGGACCCTCCGGCGTCCTCGCTTCTCCCGCCCGCGCTGCCATTGACGGGCGCGCAGGCAAACTGCGGACCAGAGGCCGACTCCTTCTTCGGCGCCCTCAAAGCCGTCGATGGCAGCTGGCTCACTCACGCGCAGTGCTGGAGTGGGTCCAATAACTGGATCTCAGTCCGGACCGAGGCGGACGCAGGAGGCGGAGTTATTGGGTCGGTGCAAATCTACGCCTCTGGCGAGCATGATCGGTTGGGCCCGTTCGAGGTCTGGGTCGGCGCATCTTTTGGCGACACTGCGCCCGGATCAGCCGAGAGGTGCACCGCCAACGGTAGCCAAACCATCAGTCAGGAGCCGACGAGTGGTATGCCAGTGCTGCTCGCCTGCGGCGGAAGCCGCGGTGCGTCGTACGTGACGTTGCGTCAAGTAGGCAGCAGCAGGGGGATGGTCGTTCACGAGATTGTGGCCTACGCGAACCAAACTTTGCCGCAGATTCCCGACGTAGCTGGCCGCGACATCATCCAGGGCATCAACGCACGATACTCGAGGGGCAAGCCGAGCCGCACAATCGAGAATGCAGGGGTCCTCGTACACATCTTCGACGACACGGAGGATTGGAGGAATGGTCGGCCGTGGGATCTGTGCGTGCGAGGCTGTGACCCAGTGATCGACCATTTCTCGGCGTCCGTCATCAACGCAAAGCGGCCTGCCGTATACGCCGGCCCGCGAGGTGGCGGCCTTGTTCTCTCGGCCGACGCCGACTTCCTCTGCATCTATGACCACGACTACGGCACGGGCAGTCGTGCCAACGGCGGCTGTGCCGACACCCCAGGCGCCCGTCCACAGAGTCAACTGCTCGAGGCGCTGCGGGACTGGGACGCGCCCGGCGCATACTGGTGAGGGCCATCGCCCCTATTCACGGGGATCAGCGGCGGCAAAGCCACATCTCACCTCCGGTGCGGTGCTCTGCGTCCCTTTAGGTACAATGAGCTGATCGTGGGCGGCCTCTCGTGGCAGGCAAGCCTACCGCGGGCCATCGAGGCGTTCCTCATCACGCACGGCGACGGGCGCGCTGTCCGCGAGCAGCACGCCAACTTTCTGCGCGCCTTCAAGGTGTGCTCCTGGCAGGTTCCACTCCTCAGGTACACCCCAGGCAAGTCGCCAGCGTTTTCCGAGGTCGAGTCTTCTGGCGTCGGCTGCACGCCAAAGGCTGCAACCTCGGTCGCTGCAACCTCCGTCGCAGGTAGAGTGTCCACCCAAGGCTGGTGCTCGAGTCTGACGCCTGGCGGCTGCGAGCACTCGTTCATGTGGTCCGCGTTTGGAGAGCCCCTGCCGTGCAAACTGGTGGGAGGGAGGTGCCGGGCGTCCGCAGGTACACAGCTGGTGCGCCCAAAGCCACCGCCTGTGCTCCCGCGTGCAAGCCCGCCCCTGCCATCGCCATCGCGGAAGCCGCCGCCGCCGCCACCGCCGCCCCCTCATCCTCGCGCCAAGCCTCCGCCGCCACCGTTGCTGATGCCGCCGCCGGCTCCACCGCCGCCGCCGCCTCCCTGGCCACCGGCCCGCTCCGCCGCGGAACTGCAGTGCTACGTCCGTCGTTACCCAGACCTCTTGTCTGGCTACTGCAAGGGCGACTTGGCGCTTTGCAATTGGCCACGGCTCCAGCGACACTACGACACGGCCGGTCGCAGAGAGGGCCGCCTCATCGCATGCCAGGCGCAGGCGCCACCTGTCGCCGCGACAGCCGTGGCGACTCCCCCGCCGCCACAGCGGTGGCGCCCGCAGGGGCTGACGCACCCTCCTGACCCGCCGGCGTTGGTGGCGGTCAGTCCCTCTGCTTCATGGGTCGGCTCCGCAGCCGTTCTGGCCTTGATGAGCGTGGTTTGCTGCGCCATCGCCCTACGCTGCTCCTTTGGCGGGCCGCGAGGCTTCACGAGTGCAACCGACGCCTATGACAGCAGCAGTGGCGGTAGCAGCGAGGACGAGGAGGAGCCGCTATCCGAGGGAGAGGAGGGCGAGGCGCGGGCGACGGGCTCCGCTCGCACGGCGGCCGTCCAGGCGGCAGGGCGTGGCGGGCGTGTGGCGCCTGCCCACGACGCCAAACTCCGGCGTGTGGTCGACGACTAGAGGGTCGTGACTAAGTCCTCCCCGTTTGACAGCGAGTCTTTTTTCTTTTTCTACACCCCTGGTCTCGCTCGCCTGTCCTCAGCTCCTGCAACAACCTCGAAAAAGCATGGTGCATGCGAAAGAGAAACGGGTCATCCACAGCCTGTGTTAGTTCCAGTGCGCCAGTCCCGGGCCTAAGAAGAAAGAAAGCGTCGAGCCAGTGCTCATGAGGTGTGAATCACAGACCAGCGCATAGCGCCATAGGACGTATTTTCTTCTCATACACGACACTGGGAGTCGCTTAGGCGGCTCCCGTGGTGTACCTGTGTTAGTGCCAGTGCGCGCCAGTCCCGTGCCCAGTGTCGTGCGAGGGAGTTGCGTTGTAAAATTCTTCTCATAACAAGGCTGAAGAAAGAATCGCTGTGGCGCTGTGAGAATACTGACAATAAGGTTCACAGCTGAAATGTGGAATATAAGCCAATATATCGCAATATACGGTCCGGATATATTGGAGAATATTGGGATATATTGGCTTATATTGCGATATATTCGCCCTGTTGATACGTCTCCAGTATATTCCAATATATTCCAGATATGCCGGAGCTAATCCCGGGGCGAAACAAGAGTATATTGGAGTATATTGGAGTATATTGCGATATATTGTACGCCTGGGCTATACGCAGCGATCCAGCAATGTATCCCAATATACTCCAATCTATCCCGGTATTCAGCAGTATTCAGCAGTATTCAGCAGTATTCAGCAGTATTCAGCAGTATTCAGCAGTATTCGCTCGGCTGGATTTTGGAGATCCGGTGCAGCAGTGCTGCCGCAAACGGGTGCGCAGGGGCACGATGGGGCCAGAGGTCGCCTCCGAGCGCCAGATCGATGGCTCATCGTCCGACGGCTCGATGGAGGAAGGCCCTATGCTCAGACTGACCGCGAGCGTCTGCGTCCTGAGTGCAAAATGGGATCGCGGCGGCGGTTGCGATGGCGGATGTCAAGTCGAATCGATGCTCTTAGCAGTGCCAGTGGGTGCCACGCGAGCACGGCAAACGTCGGCATAGCCGAGCCAACGCATCTTGGTTGGCCTCCCCGCGTAGTTCACGAAGCGGAGCAACGGCCTCGGAATTGCTGCAATCGTGCAGGGGCGGCGTGCCACTACGTCGGGTGCCGGCGCCCCGTCAGCATACCATGCTCGTCCGACACGCGCGCCCCACGCGGTGGGGCGCGCATGTCCCCTGTCTACCCTGAGCGCCTGCCTCTCGACATCAACGTCTCAACCTTCTGGCTCCGCGTGCACAGCGAAGATCGTGCCACCCACCGGGTGGCACGGCCGATTGAGTAGGTGGCACTGCGAGGTATATGCTCCGACTTCGAGCGCTTAGGCACGGCAACTTTCTGAGACCGACAGGTAGGAGGGGCTGCGCGCGGGCGGCGCGCCCGCAACGGAGCGGAGAAGTTTACGGAAAGACGAAACAGAAAGTCCGTGGAGAGGCGTAGGAGTTCTATTTTCTTCATTCAGGCAAAAGGACAGGAAAGCAGACGGGACAAGCTCTTCCTCACAGGCAAGCTCGCCGCCGCGGCAGGCAATCTCTCGCCGCAGGCAATCTCTCGCCGCAGACAATCTCTCGCCGCAGGCAAGAGCTCGCATGCTCCCGGTGCGCCCCATTCGTTTTCGCTGTCCTTCACCGCGACCGGCTGTCTGTCGCGGCAGCAAGTCAGTGTGGCCAGGGGCCGTAAGAGTGGAAACGCTGGTATGTGCGGAGGGAGCGCGCGATCAAATGTCCGGTGATAATGGGGAGATGCCACCCAGGCCAGCCAGGGCAGGGGCGGAGGGCGAGGCAGGAGGGCGGGATGGGCGCTTTTGCAGTCCCTTGCCCAGTGTTGTGCGCAGGAATTTTTTTCCTTCTTTTCTGCCCGCCGTCAATCTGTGTGTGTATGAGCGTCGCCGAGCTCGCGAGCGTTCGCCCGTCGAGGTGTGGTGACAGAGTGGCACCGCGGGCAGACAAACGTCTTCTTTCCTGGAGAGACCAGATTTACTAAGTGCACGGTCCTCTGCCGCGTGGGCGGCCGTGGGAGGGTGTGCGTTGTGCCCGAGTTTGAGGATGCCCTCGCCGGAGAGCTCGTGGACGCGGGCATGCAGCATGACTTCACGCAAGCCGTCGCCTTCAAAATACGGCAGAGGCGCGTGCTACTAACGGATGCCGTGCCGGATGACATTACTGCGCGCGTCTGCCAGGCTGCATGGACATGGCGGGCTGCAGCCCAGTAACCGGACGGCATTCTCCGCTACAGACCTACTCTCATCAGGCAGAGCAAGAGGCGTGTCGTCGGGAATGATCGACGTAGATCTCTTGGCAACCGTACACCAGGGCCTTCTGCTTACCCGCTAGGTGCCCCAGCCAGCCCGCTGCCGCCGTTTTGCATAGCTGAACGTGCGGATCCTGCGATGCACTTTTCCGTGGGTCAGCCATCTGTGCGAATGCGAGAGCGCGCCGGTGCAGCCTGCTGGGGGCATGCAATAGAGCCCTATAGGAGCGCCCACCAGGTGGACACCCCACGCTGCGCACCCGCGAGGACACTGTCATGGTTTTGCACATGCTGTGTGTGGTGACTGGTGTGCGAGCCGCGCTGGACATCAGATAGCTCTTATTCACGACCTGCAGCCACCCGACGCGGCGCCTGTGTGTTTACGATCCTTCGACTATCCCCACGGCGGCGTGTGAGCACGTCCCGCAGGCTGCGACGCGCCACGGACCATTGTACATCCCCCGACTTTCTCCAGTATTCAGCAGTATTGCAGTATTCAGCGCAAGACCGCAGCCATCCAACCCGGCGCCTTACGATCCTTCAACTACCCCCACGGGGTCGTTTGAGCCACGCCCCGCAGGCTGCGACGCGCCACGGACCACTCTACGTCCCCCGACTTTCTCCAGTATTCAGCAGTATTCAGCAGTATTCCAGCAGTATTCAGCAGTATTCGGCAATATACAGCAATATATCCCAGTATTGCGAACTATAAGCCAATAATGGGGCAAGCAAGCTGTGAGTATATTGGGATATACTGCTGTATATTGCAATATATTGCGGAAGGATTGAGGTGCTTGGCGGCGCCGAGATATACTCCAATATATCCCAGTATTCGGCTGGAAGATGTTCCTCCAATATCTCCGTATATTGCGCAATAGTGCGCAATATTGGAGTATATTCCAGGGGTGCAATATACCCCAGTATATCCCAATATATTCACAGCGCCTTGCTATTTGTCAGTATTCTCTGTGGAGTTGTGACTGTGCCAGAGTCGCCAGTGGCGAGTCGGAGTGGCGAGTCGGGCGACGCAACCGACCGCACATGATCCTCGCCGCCATCTTCCCTCCGGCATCGTCAATCTCGGCGTCGCCGCTCGCGTTTGAGCTCTACCCGTACGAGCCGGCGGCCGATCCAGCGGCTGCTGTCGTCGTCGGAAAAGCCCGTTTCACGGTCCTGACGCCGAGGCTGCTGCGGCTCGAATACTCTGAGACTGGAACCTTTGAGGACCGCCCGACGTTGGCCTTTGTGAACCGCAAGCAACCCGTCCCCGAGTTCACCTGGAGCGCCGTGGCGGGCACGCTCACCACCGCCGCTCTGCGCCTCCACTACGCGGGCGGCGCCTTTTCGGCACAATCGCTGTGGGTGACGCCTGCGCCCGGTGCGAAGCGGACCGCGTTCGCTGGATGGAGATTCGGCATGACGTCCGACGCCGACCCAGGCAACCTGCGAGGCACGATCCGCACGCTCGACCGAACGGCCAACATCTCGCTCGATTGCAACCATCTCACGAGCGATCGGCACTGCGCTTGGGGTGTGGTGTCTCAGAGTGGCTGGTCGCTGGTGAACGAGACGGGCGTGCCGTGCCTCGGGGCGGACGACTGGTGGGCCGACGCCGAGGGCTCGATGCTACGCAACATCGACACGCACGACCTCTACCTCTTTGCCCACGGGCACGACTACCCCGCAGCCCTTCATGACCTGCAGGCCGTGGGCGGAAAGGTGCCGCCCCTCTCCCCGCCGCAGCCTCGGCGCCAGTTATTCGCTGAATGAAGTCATCGAATCGCTTGTCAACAGGTGCCGCTCCTGCCCCGCCGCAACCTCGGCGTCTGGTTCACGCGCTGGTACGACTACGACGCGGCGGACGTGCGTCGCCTCGTGGGCGAGTTCGAGCGGCGCGCGCTGCCGCTCGACGTCCTGGTCCTCGACATGAACTGGCACACAAAGGACGCCTGGACGGGCTACAGCTTCGACAAGACCCTCTTCCCCGACCCGGCCGAGGCGCTCGGCTGGCTCCGCTCCAAGGGCCTCGCCGTCGCCGCCAACCTCCATGACGCAGAAGGCGCCGCCGTCGCCGAGGGGAGGAGCGGCCCGCGGCCGCCCACTGCTCGCATGGATGATCCACCGGTCACCGCCGGGTAGGCATCAACCCGTGGGAGGAGCGGCACGCCGCCGCCGCCGCGGCGATGGGCCAGCCCAACGCGAGCGGCCAGCTGGCCCTCCGCCTGACGAGCAAGGAGTACGTCTTTGCGCTCGAGGACGTGGTGCTGCGCCCGCGCGAGGAGGAGGGGATGCGCTTCTGGTGGATCGACTGGCAGCAGGGAGAGACGCAGGGCGGGACGGGCCAGGACCACCGCCCCGACGGAAAGATGAACCCGACCGTCTGGACCGCAAAGGCGAGAGTCACCGACTCGCTCCGGCGATGCCGCACGGGCGGCGGCTGCTCCGACCTGCGCGGCGTCACTCTGTCTCGCTGGGGCGGGCTGGGCCAGCACCGCTACCAGCACGGCTTCTCGGGCGACGTGGCCGGGCTCACGTGGGCCAACCTCGCCTACCAGGTCTCCTCTAGACCTGCCCTCGCCCTAGTCCCGCCCGATCCCGCCCGATCTCGACGGGTCTCACCCGCCTCGCCGTCCCCGCCTCCCAGGCGTACTTCTCGGCCACCGCCTCCAACGTCAACTTTGGGTTCTGGTCGCACGACCTCGTCGGACCCGGATCGGACCCCGAGATGTACGTGCGCTGGCTGCAGCTCGGAAGCCTGTCGGGCATCATGCGGATGCACGACCGCGGCCTCTCGGCCGGAGGATGCATGCCGTGGCCAGACTCCGACAGCGCGTGCTCGACTGTCGAGCCTTGGGACGTGCCGCGCGCATTCTACGAGGCGGCCGCGAGCGCGCTCCGGTCGCGTGCGAGTATGCTGCCCTACATCTACACGCAGGCGCGCGCGGCGTTCGACTCGGGGCTCGGCCTCACGCGGCCGATGTACTACTACCACCCCGAGGAGCAGGGCGCCTACCCGTCCAGCAAGGTGGTCTCGGCTCCCCTCGGCTCCTCTCGGGCTCCTCTCGGGCTCCTCTCGGGCTCCTCTCGGCTCCTCTCGGGGGCTCCTCTCGGCCCCTCTCGGGCTCCTCTCGGGGGCTCCTCTCGGCCCCTCTCGGCTCCTCTCGGCTCCTCTCGGCTCCTCTCGGCTCCTCTCGGCTCCTCTCGGCTCCTCTCGGGCTCCTCTCGGGCTCCTCTCGGGCTCGTCTCGGCTCGTCTCGGCTCGTCTCGGCTCGTCTCGAATCCCGGCTGCTCTCGCCGCCAGGAGGAGTTGCTCGGCCAAGTCCCGAGCACACGGCAGTACTACTTTGGACGCGACCTCCTAGTCGCGCCCGTGACGGCGGGAGGCGAGTGCGTGCGCGCGAATGCGACGCGCCCAGCCGCGACCGCCGCCGGCGGCGGCGGCAGCTGCGGCGGCGGGGCGGCGGCGGCACCGCCGCCCGACGCGCCGTGCGGTCTGGCGCGCACAGAGGTGTGGCTGCCTCCAGGCGTGTGGTACGAGGTGCACACGGGGTCTCTCCTGAAGAGGGCAGCGCCCCAGACCACCACGCTGGGCGTGCACCTGCTGGACGTGCCCACCTATGCCGTCGGCGGCTCGGTGGTGCCGCGCAGGCCGCTCTTCTCCTCCACGGGCGAGGTCGCCGTCTCGCCCGGTCTCGCGGGCGAGGCGTACGCTGCCGTCGAGTGGACCCTCTACCCGGGTGCGGCGGCGGGCTCGGGCAGCATGTACGAAGACGACGGCGAGACCTACGCGTACTTGCGTGGCGACTCGGCGACGAGTACGCTCGTATTCGCGATGGGCGGCGGGACGAGCCCCACTCTCGACGTCAACATCACCGTCGCCGTCTCGGCAGGAGGGGCCGCCGCCCTGCCTCGGACGCGCACGCACTCGCTCCGGCTCCCGAACACGCCGCCGCCGACGCGCGTCCTCTTCAACGGGGCGCCGCTCGGGAAGTCGCGCTTCGGCGGCCCGGCCTCGTGGCACTACGACGGCGACGACGTGGCGGTGGTCGTCACCCTGCCCCCCTCCCGCACCACCGACCCCGCCCGGGTGGTCGCCACGTTCGAGCCCCACCCGCCGGCCGGCCTGGACGGGCTCAAAGGGCTGCTCGCCGCCTCCCGGCGCGCAAAGGCCGCGCTCAACCTCCGCAGGATGGCGCCGGGCGAGCACTCATCCCACCTCGACCCGCTCGGCGCGCCCCTCGCCTACGTCGCAAGCGCGCCCGACTTGCTGGCGAGCGCGGCTGGCTCGCCCGCCTTTGCAGCCACGGTGGCAAAGGCGCGGCTGCGGTACGCGGCCGCAGCGAAGGAGATCGGAAACCTCGCGGCAAACGTGACCAAGGACGCCGACAAGTTGCGGGCCATGTATGCCAGCGAAATCCTCGAGGCGGCGCGGGTGGCATATAGTGGGTAGTTGCCGTTTCCGGTGTTAGAGAGGTGTTAGAGCCGTACTCTGTACACTGACAGAGCTCACGCGCCCCTGGAGTGTGGAGACGACACACCGCGGCGGAGGCCGGAGCGGATTTGTGCCATACTGCCATTTGTCATTTGAGGAGATGCAGTAACCAGTATGCAGATGTGGTCTCTGAAAGAAATATTCGACTCTCACAAGCAAAAGCGAGAGACTCCACACGCAGCGCACCCTCACCTGTCCGTGTATTCTCTCAGGTGCGGGTCGAATTGCAGCAGCGCATTTCGCCGGTCGCCTGCGCGGGAGGCGCAGGAGGTTGGGGGGTGATGGTGACGATGAGGGAGGACGCGATGGCGGTGGCGGTGGCACGGGCCGCGCCTGTCTTTGCGTTGCGCAGCTCCTGCTCGGCGGTGAGCGGCACCTGCCACGGGCTGGGATACTGAGCACGCTCAGATGATCCGAACATCCATGCTGGGCGCGGCACCTCGGTGCCCGAGTAGCCGATCGCCCGGTTCTTGTGCATCTCGGCCACGTCAGCAACCTCGAGCAGTGGAAGCACGCTGCCCGCCGCATCGACCGCACCGGCCGCCTCCTCGGCGCTGCCTGTCCCGCGCGCCGTCGCCGCAAGCAGCGCCTCGGCCTCCACCTCCCACGCGAGCTCCTCGCCGCTCTCGCGCGCCTGTCCACTCCGGGCGTGCCTCGCCGTCAGGAGACGCCGCAGCAGCGCCCCCCTCCCTCCCTCCCTCCCCCCCCCCCTCTCGCTAAGCGCGCCTCCGCCCACGCCGGCGCCTCCTCGAGTCCGGGCGGCGCGCCGAGCAGCGTGCGTGCGGTGCCGGCTGCCGCGCGCCACGCCTGTGACGCGGGGTGCGGGAGCCCCTCCTGAAGACGAGTCTGGCGGACTGCAGGGTGGACTGCGTGGGTGTCGTGTGTGTGCGCGCCACGCCTTGAGCGCGATCTGCGGCTCGCCGCCCACAGTCAGGTGCACCTCCTGCGGCGCTCTCCCCGCGAGGAGGAGCTGCACGAGCGCCTGGTGCAGGCGGGGCGGTGGGGGAGGGAGGCGCGAGGGAGTGGAGAGAGCGGGCAAGGAGCGGGTGTGGTGCGAGGGAGTGCAACGAGGGAGTGCGGCGAGGGAGTGTGCCGCCGCGCCTCGAGCCCGAGGGCGGTGGCGGTGGTCGGGCGCCACCCCTTGACGCCCGCGCCGAGGAGAGGGGCCGCGACGCTGGCGGCGCCGAGGGCGGCGGCGGTGCCGAGCGCCGAGTGCCACGCCCCGAAGAGCAGCTGGTCGGGCGGCGAGAATTGCAGCCACGACGGGTGCCTGCCGAGGTTGGCGGCCGGCGAGTCCTGGTGGACGTTTGAGACCTCCTCGTCGCGGAGCGCGCCCGTGTACAGTCCCTCGTACCCAAACTCGGAGTCGGGCGCGACGGCGTGGACCAGGTGAGCCGCGTCCAAGTCACCGGGCGCAGACGTGACTACAGACCTCCCCGTGGGGCAGCGGACGGGCGCCGAATTGCCCTCCTTGACGCCGGACGTCCAGCGCGTGATGTCGCGCCGGACGCGTCGCACCTCCTCCTTTGGAAGCGTCGGAAGCGCGAGGCACTCGGCCTCGAGCGCCGGGCCTGCTGCACTGCGGATGGCGCCGTCCACCGACCGCCTGTTGATGAACCGCCAGTACCTGCTCACACGCTGACAGGTTCGACACGGGCCTCTCACGGCGCACAGAGAGGGTTGCGATGGCAGTACATGGGCTGCTCATTGCCGACCAGCGAGTCATTTGCCGGCGTGATTAGCACTGGTGCGGCCGAGCGCTCGAGCGACCCGCGCCGGAAGCGAATGATGCAGCTCCTCCTCATGTGTGTGTGAGAGAGAGGGCCAGGTCAGGTGCACGGGGCCAGGGCGAACTGGCACGGGCGTAGCAATGGGTAGTTGGCCCAGCGAATCCGCGCCGAAGAATTTAATATTGCGAAAAAAATCAAAGCCGCGCTCCCAAGTGATGGAGAAATGAAGCAAAGCATGCGCATCACACACACGTCACCGTCACCGTAGGTACTGCGGCAGCAAGCGCGCCTCGAGCTGCCCGAGCAGGTCGTGTATGACGCGCTGGTGCTCCGCGTCGCCAATCAGGTTCACAGACTCCTTTGGATCGGACGCGAGCTCATAAAACTCGCACGCTGTGGCGGTTCCCCCACGCTCGTAGCCCTCGTGGGACTCGGAGGCGGCGGCGGAGGCGGCGGCGGCGGAGCCGTTGGCGAGCGCGCCTCTTCTGTACGGACAGAGGAGCTTGCTCGTGCCCTGGCGGAGCATGTGTTTGGCCGGCACGCCATCCAGGTTACCCTTATTGTGGTAGTCGAGCGCGTAGACCGCCTCCCTCGACGGCGCCCTGCCGCCACCCACGAGGTGCTGAGCAAAGCTGATGCTATCGGGAGCCTGCCCCGGAGGCGGCTTCACGCCGACCAGATCGCAGAGAGTGGCAAACAGGTCGGTGATGCTCACCAATCCCGTGTGGACGCCACCCTTGAGCACGCCGCCCCCGTCCCAGCGCACGATCATCGGGACGGCGTGCCCGCCCTCGTAGAGGCTTCCTTTCGTGCCGCGCAGGCCGTTGCTCGTGTCGTGGCCAACAGGCGCCGAGACTGGCAGGCCGCCATTGTCGCTCGCAAAGACGACGATGGTGCTGCGGAGGAGGTGCCTGGCGTCCAGCGCCTCCACGAGGCCCTTCACCTGCAGGTCGAGCTCGTGCACCATGTCGAGGTGCGCTGATACGGTCTTCCCGGCGACGGGCTCGCCGCGGAAGGCGAGCGGCGGGGAGTGGGGCGTATGGGCGGCCTGCGAGCAAAAGTGGATGAAGAAGGGGTCGAGGGGCCGGTCCGCGAGGTGGCGATCGAGGAAGGCCTCCGTCTTGCCGAGGAGCCAGAGCCCATAGTTGTTGCTCTCCCAGCCGGGCATCGCCACGCCCCAGAATGCGATTCGGCCCTCCGGCGTGCCAATCAGGCTCACGCCATTCGAGTTGGGCACCTCGGTATAGTTGTGGTACTCGACGACGCCCCTCGGATCGCCCACCAAGATGTCGTCCTCGAACATGGCGTACGGGGCCGTCTGGATCCCGCCGAGAGACATGTAGGAGTGCTCGAACCCGAGCTCTCTGGCTGCATTGCGCAGCGGGCTGGTGAAATCGTACTCCTCGTCGTTTCGCAGCAGGTCCCACCGGCTGTAAAGCCACCGATTCGACGCGTGCTCCGGCTTCATGCAGACGCTGCTGCTGCCGCCGTGCTCCGGCCGGAGCGGCCACCCGCCGCCCAAGTGCCACTTGCCTACTTAGCACCGCTCACAAGCTCAGAGTGTGGCAGCGTGACCCAGGGACGGGTATCCGCGGCAGCCGCCAAAGAAGGCGGTGTCGAAGTTGGCCGCCCGCAGCACTTGGGCTAGCGACGCCTGCCCGTCGAGGAACTGGTTGCTGCAGTCCGGCTCCGGCTCGTACGTACCGACGGGATGCCTTCCTCTCTGCGGGTACCTGCCCGATAGGATGCTGTAGCGGGACGGTCCGCACCAGGGCGTCGCGTGCGTGTCCGTCAGAGTCATCCCCTCGGAGGCGAGCAGCGTGTCGATGTGCGGCGTCTGCACCTTGCTGCGTGGGTTGTAGCTCGACACGTCCCCAACGCCGATGTCGTCGCCTAGGATGACCAATATACTCGGTGGCGGGGATGGTGGAGGCGACGGAGACGGCGGTATCGAAGGAAGCGACGGCGACGACGGCGTCCGCACGTGAGAGGTAAAACCCGCCGGCGCTGATGGTGGCAGCGGTAGCTTTGAGTCGGACGGCAGCGGTAGCTTTGAGTCTGAGATAAGAGGATCCAGTTCGGGTAAGTCATAGAAGCGGATGTAGTCAACCAGCATCTCGCTGGGTAGGTCACTGTTATTGATCGGCCCGCCCGCCCACAAGGGGTCTCTCAGGGTGTACTCCAGGATCACCCTCGCATCCAGGTTGCTCGGCACGTCGCGCTGCCACTCGAGGTGCGACGCGTTGCAGTGGCCGCCGTACCTCTCGCAGTTGTGGTTGCCCCTGGCCCGCACCGTGCCACCCGAAAAGGTCCTGTACGGCAAGCTCCTCCAGGCTGGCCCGTCCTGCGCTAGAAACCATTCGATTTTGCCCGCAGACACCTTGAGTCCCACCGTGAGGAACTCGTAGTAGTCGACCGAGCCGCCCTGAAAGTGGGCCGAGTGTCCTGGAAAGTGCCCCCTATATTCCTGCTGGGTCACAAATATGTGATCCTCAGCCCGCGCCCGGTAGCCGAGAAGATCTTCGGGCTGCTCGTCCCGCTCGAAATCGTGCCACCAAATCCCGCTGTAGAACTTGGTCTGTTCTCGGTTGGCGTGGAACTCGAAGATGTCAATCTCGAATAGGTCAGCCGGCGTTCCGAAGGGGTTGTTGGGCATCGCCCACAAGGCGCAGAATCCACCGGCATTGTCGGGCAGTTTGAGTCGCACCTCAAGGTACATGTTGTTTCTCAGCGGGTAGCCGAGGCTGGTGTGCACCGCGCCTGAGGAGTAGTGGAAGTCGACGCTGTCGAGGCGTGGCTCGCTGGGCCCAGCGAGCGGCGGCGCCTCCTGCTTCGCTGTCATCACGAGCTTACCATCGCGCACGCTGAGGTTCTCGCGACGAAACGCGGCGCTGACACCATTGTTAAGAGTGTTGTCCTTGTTGACTCCGATGCCAAACATGTCTTGGTCGTAAGTGTCGCCGTCAAACTCATCCCCGTATGCATACGTGGAGCCCGGAGGGCCTGCACCAAGCCACGGCTCGGGCCGCGACGGCCGATACGGCGGCGGTGGCGGCGGCGGCGGCGGTGGCGGCGGCGGCGGCGGTGGTGGCGGCGGCGGCGGCGGTGGCTCTTCTTCCTCCTCCCCTCCAGAGAGCGGTGGCGGTGGCGGTGGCGGTGGCGGTGGCGGTGCTGGCGGGCATGTGATGCCCGAATCGTCTCCGTCGAACAGCAGGCTTGGCTGGAGGCAGGGACGCACGGCATCGAAAAGCTTGCCTGGCCTCTTGGTTGTTGCAAAGCCCAAGCAGAAGATCAATGGCAGGTGCATGCGAGTCGCCGTAGTCGCGCGTCCTCTTGCGCGTCAACTTTGAGTGTTGCAACACGCCAAGTTTGTGGGACAATGGTGCGTGCGTCCATGCCAGCGCATTCGGCTGCCAGAACCAGGAGCGCGCCGCCCACGCTGCACATCTTGACTCTCGCGACCCCTCCGGCGGCGCCGATGTTTGCCTGCTGGACCAACTGGCTCGTGCGCATGTTGCGCAGCTCCAGCGCCGCCTTCGGCACGTACCAGGCGAGCGGCACTTCCGAAGAATACTTATCGTCCCACCAGCCACGCACACGACCGCCCCACCTGCGCCTCACACAAGATCGCTATGTCTCCAACTTGACTCTCTCACCGCCACACCCACAAACCCATGCCCACGACGAGACACGTTGGTGACACGTCCTCGTCCACGGTTTGTTGGCAGCTGCATGTTGAATGGTACCAGCCGCCAGGCAAGGCGCGCCAGGGCGGCCGCGGGGACCAGGGTTCGCCCGAGTGGAAGGACGCGGTGGCAGCAAAGGTCCGCTTCGTGCGCGACTTCCTCGCCTCCCACCCGGAGAATGTCACCGCCCTCTTCACAGACCTGGATGTGGTGCCTCTCCGGCCGCTTGGGGTGCTGCGGCAGTACGTCCGCTCGGGGGTGAGCCTCTTCGGGCCCGCCCTGCCAGTGGGCCCGCCCTGCGCCCGTTCGTTTTGCGCACCAAAGCCCCCCCCCCCCCCCCCGCTTCGGCGCAGGTGGAGCTCATGTGGATGCGCGAGCCAGGGAACGTGCCCGCAAACACTGGCTTCTACTTGATGCGCAACACGCCCCCGGTGCGCGCCTTTTTTCGGGAGTGGGCGGCGCAGTTCCGGCCCGGCGCCAACGACCAGGTGGTTGCAAACTACATTCTGTACCGCGTCGGTGGGGGCGACGTCGAGGTCGCGCGATCGAAGAGAGGAGGATGGGGCGTCACCCCGCGCCTCTCGAGGTCGCTCCGAGACGCCGCGGCGATCCCCAACATCCCCCTGCGCTGGGGCCTCTTCTCGCGCTCTGCCGTCGCCGGCAGGCCGTGGCACGTCACCAACACGACCATCGCCTACCACGCCGTCAACGCGACCGACCATATCGGCAAGATTGCCAAGGTGAACCAGGCGCTCGCCGCGCTGCGCAGGCTCAAGCCGAGGCGGAGGGCGTGGCAGGTGGAGTGCCCGAGCGCGGAGGCGGGGGCTGGGGGGAGCCAGGTCGAGGCTGGGGGGAGCCGGCGGGGTCGTGCTTAGCCTTAGTACGAGGAATCTGCTGCGCCGGCCCGCGAAATCTTTTATTCGCCTGTGTAGTGGGCCAGTTCGCCAGTGCGCGCCAGTCCCGTGCCTCGTAAAAGAAAGAAGACACACAAACCAAAGGAGGGATGGGAGGACGGCACGGGCGCCGGCAAAATTCTTTTCTTTTCGGTGTACCTTTCTTCGGTGTACCTGTGAGCTGTGTTAGTGCCTGCGCGCCTTTTTTCTCTTTGTACTTTGAGTTTGTTTTGTTTGTTTAAAACAAACCGTCCCGTGCCTAGTGCAAAAGAAAGGTAGAAAGATTCTACTAGTATCGTGCGAGGGAGTATTTAAGAAAACTTTCAAAATTCTTTTCTTCTGTTAGTAATAAAATAAATAAATAAAACGGGCACGCCAAACGAGGGGTGGGAGAAGGACAGGGTCCCCACCTGCACGAGCAGGATCTTGTAAGGACGATCAGGGACACAGGGGAACGGGAGCGGGGAGCGCATCGCGACACGGAGGGGGGCTGGGCAGGGTTCACCCACACGACAGGGTCCCAGGGATTCCTCTCTCGTATAGGACAGGTTGCACCCGGCGGCACGGGGGCAGGCGCGGGCCTCCTACTGGTTAATTCTTCTCTTCGCTGCTTGCTCGCGCGATGGTCCGCGCTCGCGGCCAGCGGCTCGCCTCCATCCAGCTCAAAGGCTGGATAAAGCAAGTGATCGAAGCTGCCTGCGACGACGTCCAAAAGTCAACGACTTCCATCGGCCTGCGCACGTCGGGCACCGTTCGCCTCCCGACGGAGCGCGAGCGCTGGTCGGTGCTGCGCTCGCCCTTTGTGCACAAGGGCGCCATCGACCAGGCGCGGCACGCGCACCCGCGCACCCACAGATCAAGCCCATCGCCGCTCCCGCGCGCCTTCGCTCCGCTCTCACCGCCCGCCTCCACCGCGGCAGTACGCGCGGCTCACATACAACCGGCTCATCGAGATCTACGGGGAGGGGACGCAGTCACACGACGCCACCAAGACGGTGCACTTCCTCCGCTACCTCGAGCACACCATCCTCCCGGCGCACGCCGGCGCGCGAGCAAAAGTCACGCTCTTCTCGAACGAGGTTCGTGCGGCCGCACCATCCAGCTCCAGCGCGGCTACCTCACACTCCTCTAGCAGCGGGCAGTCATGACACCTTGTCGTGTGTGATATGAATAATAATAACAAACTAAGACAGAGAGGCGGCGTGTGCGGCCGTGTGTGCTAGAATACATCGCCCACCCATCCCATACACCCCCCTGCTCTCTCTCTCTCAAACTCTCCATGCGAGTACTCCACGAGACCGCCGACAGAGAGCGTGTGCGCAGCGGGCCCGGGTTAAGTACGAGGCGTTGGCACGATGCCGGCGACGAGCCTATGCCGCCGGCCCAACGCCTCCGCGGAGGAGCGCAGAGAGCGGCGGCGCGGCGGGCGGGCGGCCAGGGCGCGCGCCCAGCTCTCTGCGGGTGGAAGGCGGGCGGGCTGCGGGCGCGCCGCCGCCCTCAGATGGAGAGGGACTGCTCGTCCGCCTCCCACGTGACGATGAGCGAGATGGTTCCGCTCTCGGTCATGTCGAGGTCCACGTTCTCGTACGGGACGCGGTTGCGGGTGCGCAGCCCGTCTAGCTTGAAGGAGAGGTCGCCTGTGAGCAGTGCGGAGGGGCGTGAAGAGGGGCGCACGGCGGGGCAGGGGGCGCGGGCGGGGGGGGAGCGGTCGCCGAGCGAGTCGGACTTCTCGCCGCCGTACCCCTCCTTGAGCTCCTTCGTGTTTCGGTCGATCACCTTGAGCAGCATCAGGCAGTTGACAAAGTCGCCGAGCGTGCCCTTGGCGACGAAGCGGTCGTCGAACTGCGGGTTGCAGTTGCGCTTGAAGACGGACGACTTCCACGTCTTCTGCCCCTTGATCTTGATCGCGACGTACGGGTCGGACAGGTTCGCCTTGTCCCGACCGACCAGGTTCTTGGCCTCCTTGACGTGGACCGTCAGCGTGCCCTGCTGCTTGAGCCTCGCCTCCGGGTCCCGCGCGGGCGAGGCCGGCACCGACGGCACGCGCGCGGGCGCGGGCGCGGGCACCGGCGCGGGCACCGGCGCCGGCGCGGGCGCGGGGGTGTACTGCTGCGGCGGCGGCGCGGGCGGCGGCGGCGCGGGCGCGGCCGCAAACTGGCGCGTCGCGGCGGGCGTGCTCTGCGCGGGCGGCGGCGCCGGCGCGGGCGGCTGCTTGAGCTGCTCCGAGTAGGCCTTCGCCTTTTGCGCGCCCGCCTTGGCCATGTTGGCCATGCTCCCCATCGCGCCCGCGGTGCCCGCCTTGATCTGGTCCAGCCGGCTCGGCCCGGTCGTCTGGGGCGGCGCCGGCTCGTCGTCGTCCAGCTGCTGGAAGCGGAAGTCGCGCGTCTGCGGCTGCGACTTGCCGCCGCCGCCGCCGCCGAGCAGGCACGCGCCGAGCAGCAGCACGAGCAGCCCCGTGATGAGGCCGAAGACGATGGTCGTGAACTTGGTCGGGCGGCACTCGCCCGTGAATGTGAACTTTGTGTGCGAGTAGCGGTACGTGATCCCGTCGTTGGTCACGGTGAGCCACATGATGCGCGAGAGCGAGGTGCCGTCGTCGGCGTACCGGATGGTCGGGATGGGGCAGCGGATCTTGTCGTACCGCACGAAGATGCCGGGCAGGAAGACCTGGTAGTCGTCGACGCCGCCCATGCCCGAGCCGCCGACGTGGTGGTAGACGCACGAGAGGTGCTCCGCGGGCACAAAGTTGAAGCCCTCGACCTCGACCGTCTCCTCGTTGGAGACCTCGGTCAGGTCGGACGTGCGCGTGTCCTCCACCTTCCGGCCGCCGCTGAAGCAGGCCCCCTCCGTCGGCGAGGCCGAGGAGAGGCCGGGCGGCAGGTAGGGCTGCCAGTACGTGAAGAGGTCCTCGGTGATCCACTCGGCCTCGGGCGGGACGAGCATGGTGGTGGGCGCAACCTGCACCGGCACCGAGAGCGAGAGCACCTCGGCCGAGGGCAGGATGGACATGGCGAGCACGGTGCCCGACTCGACAAACGTGGCCTGGTCCTCCCCGAGCGAGCCCCACCGCACGTTGAGCCGCTCCGGGATGGGCGCGAAGTTGTAGCCGTTGATGGTCACCACCGTGCCGACGGCGTGGTGGCCGTACTTTGGCGCCATCGAGTACACCTTTGGCGGCTCGCGCGGGTTGTAGTACGTGTACATGACCGGCTTGTGGTCGTACCAGTCCCTGCCCGAGCCGTACTCCTCGCCGTCGTTGGTCGCGTACACCTCGACCGTCGCTGGCTCGTGGTAGCGCGGGATCTCGACCTTGATGTGGTTGACGGTGACAAAGGTGGCGGGGCCGTAGTTGACCACCTGCGAGTCCTCCGCGCCGAAGCGCGTGCGCAGGTGCTCGGTCGGCGCAAAGTCGTCGCCGAACAGGTCGGTGATCTCGCCGCCGTCGACCGAGCCCCAGTGCTTTGAGAAGTTCTTGACGTGCGGGGGCCGCGTGTCGTCGTACATGGTGAAGGGCTTCGAGTTGGACCACGGGCCGTCCGGCATCAGCTCCGCCTTGACGTACGCCGTGTACGGGTCGTGCACGATGTCGGGCGAGAAGCAGCGCGCCTCCTTGGGCGAGATGAAGGTGGCCGGAGTCGGCTCGAGGTGGCCGAAGACGCAGCGGAAGTCGGGCGTCGGCGCGAAGTTGTCGCCGTACAGCGTCACCTCCACCGGCGTGTGCAGCGGCGCGTAGAGCGGGTCGAGCGACTTGAGCATCGGCGGCCTGTCCTTGTCGAAGCGGACGAAGGGGAGCGGCTCGGAGAACTGCTGGCCGCCGTCGATCGAGACGGAGACGTAGATCGCCTTCGCCTCGGAGCTGTCGGGCGCCGTGCACTTGACCTCGTCGCCCTTGACAAACGAGGCGGGCACCGGCGAGCCGCCGTCGAAGGAGCAGAGCAGCTTGTCGCCCATCGGCGCCATGTTGAGCCCAAACACGTGCAGCGGCTCGTCCGTCTCCGAGTGGAGCGGCAGCAGCCGCGGCGCCAGCTTCTGCAGCACCGGCGGCGAGTGCGGGTCGTAAAACTCGACGTGCGCCGTGCAGCCGGCCGGCGCCGAGCCCGCGTGCACGACGCAGACCGACGCCCACGCCTCCTCGCCGTCCCACTCGGCCGGCGCGGGCGGCAGCATGCAGCGCACCTTCTCCATCGAGATGAACTCGGCGGGCACCTCGATCCCGTCCTCGCCGCCGACCCGGCAGAGCAGCTCGGCGCCGAGGGGCTGGATGCCCGCGCCGGAGACGACGACCGTCTGGCCGCCGTGCCGGTCGGCGTAGGGCGGCACCGCCGCCACCGTCGAGGGCAGCGACGTCGGGTCGTAGAAGGAGAAGAGCGTGTCCTCGTCCGACTCGGAGTTTGCGCCGTCGCGCGTCACGCGGACCGGCACCGAGCGCGCGGCGCCGCCGCTGTCGGGCGGGGTCTTGCAGAGGGCGAGCGTCGAGCGGACGATCGTGGCGGGCGTCGGCTCGCCGTCGTCGCCGAAGCGGCACATCGGCTCGCCGATGGGCGCGAAGCCGCTGCCGCGCACCTGCACCAGCGCGCTGGCGGCCGTGCCGAAGGGGATGCCCTGCGGGAAGACGGACGTGACGGCCGGGTTGGTGTCCGGGTCCCAGAGCGTGAAGGGGAGCGGCAGCGAGCGGACGCCGTTCTTCGAGATGAGGTGGAAGTTGACGTCCGCCACCGACTTGTCCTCGACGCGCGGCGACTCGCACCGCACCTCGGTGTCGGAGATGAAGGTGGCGGCCGACATGGCGAGCGGCCAGCCGTTGGGCTTGGAGAGGAGGCAGAACTGCTGCGGGACCATCGCGAGCTCGCGGCGCGACAGCTGCCGGCCGGAGGACGGGTGGGCCTCGGCCGCGGGGACCAGCTCGTTGCCCTTGGAGTAGTCGACCGCGCCGTGCGCGTCGCGCCGCAGCAGCTTCTCGTACCGCGACGTGTGCTCCTCGGCCGACATGTCGGCGTGCAGCACGGCGCCCCAGCCGCCCGACGGGTCGGCGTGCGGCGGCGTCATCTCGCGCGCGGGCGGGTCGGCAAAGGTGAGGCGCGAGGCGAGCTCGAGCAGCCGGCGGCCAAACAGCGGCTGCGTGTTTGAGCCGCGCACAAAGCCGCCGAGCGAGCCGGCGAGCACCTGGTGGCCGTGCTCCATGTGCTGCCGCGCGAGGTGGAGGGCCGAGTCGTCGACCTCCGGGTAGAAGTTGTCGCCGCGCACCGTGAGGAGCGCGCCGCCGTCGAACATGTCGACGTTCGGCGTGACCGACTTGATCTCGGGCGGGAAGTCGGAGTCGATGAAGGTGTAGTTGACGTGCTCCGGCGTCGGCACCCAGCTCTGGCCGTGGTCGTACGAGTAGCCGAGCTCGACGTGGCCGAGGTGCTCCGTGTACGGCGTCGGGCAGAGCACCGCGTGCGAGTGGACGAAGGTCGCGTGCGTGAACGAGTGCAGCTTGCCGAAGCGGCACATGAGCACGCCCGCGTGGTGGATGCGGTCGTCGTCCTTGTACGCGTACGCCGGCGCGAAGTTGTGGCCGAACAGGCGCACGACGGAGGGCTCGTGCCGCTCGCCAAAGTGCGGCGCCGAGTCGTCGATGCCGGGCGGGTACGAGGGGTCGTAGAAGGAGAGGGTCAGGTGGCCGTCGCCGAGCGGGCCGGGCGCCGCCTTGAAGCCGCCCGCGTGCCCGTCGAGCTCGATCGAGAGGGAGAGGGTCTGCGGCTCCGTCGCGTGCGGCGCCTCGCACTGCACGTGCTCGGCGTCGATGGCGGTGGCGGCGGTCGGCTCCGGCACGTCGACGCCGAAGGAGCGGTCGTGCGGCGTGAAGGTGCAGCGGCCGGACTTGGCCTTCGAGTAGAGGTTGTACCCGCGGATGGTGAGCAGCTTGGCGGTGCCGATCTTGAGCGCGGTCGGGAAGACCGACTCGAGCAGCCCCGTCTTGGACGAGTTGAAGATGACGATGTGGCCCGGGTGCGGCACCTTCTTGATGCCGCTGTCGCCGAGCATCTCGTCGGCGTTGGGGTCCCACATCATCGACTGGCCCGACCAGCGCACGCCGTCGGTCGTCGTGTCGACGAGGTTGTGCTCCCACGCCAGCGGCGGCACCTCGCACTTGATCTGGTGGAACGAGTCGAAGTGCGCGTTGGCGCCCACCTCGCGCGCGGCGCCAAAGCCGCACGAGAGGTTGGCGGTGGGCGCAAAGTTCTGGCCGCGGATCTCGACGAGGTGCGGCGGCGGGTCGGCGAGGTCGATCTCGCGCGGCGAGACGGCGGTCACGATCGGCGGGTGCTGCGGCTCGTAGTACGTGAAGCGCGCCGACTCTAGCGAGAAGCTCTTGCCGCCGTCGAGCGAGACGCGGATCCCGATGTCGCCCGGAATGAGGTTCGAGGCGATGTGGCAGCCGAGCGCGGAGCCGTTGATGAAGGAGGCGTGCACCGACGCGACGAAGGTCTCGGTGCCCGTCTCGCCAAACTCGCACAGCAGCGTGTTGCCCACCGGCGCGAAGTTGGAGCCGCGCACGGTGACGTGGTGGCCGCCGTAGTCGTTCGAGGCGGGCGCAAAGTCGGGCGTCACGCTCCGCACGCGCGGCAGCTCGTCCGGGTTGTAGTAGGTGAGCCGGCCCGCCGTGGTCGAGAGGCGCGGCCCCTGGTCGCGGGTCTGCGCCTCCTCGAGCGTGCGCAGCGCCGCGCGGACCACGTCGGTGCCGCGGGGCACGTCGGCGTTCCACACCTGCACGCGCGCCGTGCCGCGCGCGTCGCCGGAGAAGGGCGACTCGCACTTGATCTTGTTGGCCGAGCGGAACTCGGCGACGGATGCGGCGGTGAAGCGCTCCTCCCCCTCGTCCTCGGGCTCGATTGTGAAGACGCAGACCGTGCTCAGGTGCGGCGCGAAGTTGTCGCCCCAGAGCGTGAGCATCTCGCCGCCGTGGAAGGTGGAGAGCGGAGGCACGACCATCAGCACGCGCGGCGGCGAGTCGGTGTCGACGAGGTCGACGGGCACGGCGCCTAGGGGGTGTCCACGCGGTGCCGAAGGGAGGGTCCGGGAAGGGTTGGCGAGGGTGGCGCTATCTCTCGGCCACCTCTCGGCCACCTCTCGGCCACCTCTCGGCCACCTCTCGGCCACCTCTCGGCCACCTCTCGGCCATCTCTCGGCCACCTCTCGGCCACCTCTCGGCCTTCTCTCGGCCACCTCTCGGCCACCTCTCGGCCACCTCTCGGCCATCTCTCGGCCATCTCTCGGCTATCTCTCGCCCGGCGAGAGAGTGGCGCGGTCGAGCGTGAGCGAGAGGAGGGTGGCGCCGACCCGCGCGTTGAGCGGCGTCGGGCACGAGACCGCCGTCTCGTTGAGGAAGGTGGCGGCCGCGACGCCGTTCCGCTCAAACACGCAGGCGAGCCGGTGCGTCGGCGCGAGGTTTGTGCCGCGCACGACCACCTCGGTGCCTCCGTTGATGGGCGCCCAGGTGGGGGAGACGCCGGTCACCTCGGGCGGCTTGGAGGCGTCGTACACGACGAGCTGCGGCGGCTTGTAGTTCGGGTGCATGCCCGGGTCGGGGCCGATGTGCACGCCGCCGTCCGTCGTCGCGCTCACCTCGATGGCGCCGAGCGGCAGCGTGTGCGGCGCGGCGCAGTGCACCTCGTGCGCCGAGATGAAGGAGGCGGCGGTCGTCGTGTCGCCCGACGGGTCGCCGTAGATGCAGGCGAGGTCGTCGCCCGTCGGCGAGAAGCCCTGCCCCTCGAGCGAGAGCGCGGGCGGGTGCCCAAAGTCGCCCGCCGCCGGCGAGAGGGAGAGGGGGAGCGGCCGGCCGCCGAGGATGTAGTAGCCAAAGAGCACCTCGTTGGACTCCTCGTGCCAGGTGCCGTGCTGCTGCCCCATCGGGCCGACGGAGAGGGCGACGTCTCCGTGCCAGCCGTCCGAGTCGGTCTCGGTGTAGGAGGGGGTCGAGCACTTGACCAAGTGCGACGAGACGAAGGTGGCGGCCACCTCGCGGTGCCAGCGGTTGTCGTTGTGGAAGTGGCACGCGATGGGCACCTCCTCGCCGTCCTCGATAAAGGGGTGGAAGCCGACGCCGTGCACCTGGAGGGGGGGGGGGGAGGGGAGAGGAGGGGTGGGGGAGGGAGGAGGGCGGGAGGAGAGGAGGAGGGAAGGGGAGGAGAAGAGGCGGGAGGGACCCGACCCGGTGCGCACCTCGATCTCGGTGTGGCCGTCAGTGGGGCCGTGCGACGGGACGATGGCGGTGACGTTAGAGGGCAGGTGCGACTCGATCGTGAACTCGACCTCGCCCATCAGCGAGAAGAGGTCGCCGTCGAGCGAGAGCTGCAGCGGCACCTACAGGGCGGTGGCGGAGCGGCGGTGGCGGAGCGGCGGTGGGCGGCGGCAAGGCGGCGGCGGACGTGGCGGCGGCGGCGGCGGCATTGGCAGTTGCCGCGGCGATGACGACACTGGTCGTGCGCGGGCGGGAACGAAAAGAGGGCGGCGGAGGCGAGGGAAGGAGGCGAGGGGCGGAGGCGAGGGGAGGAGGCGAGGGGCGGTGGCGAGGGGAGGTGGCGAGGGGAGGTGGCGAGGGGAGGAGGCGAGGGGAGGGGGTACGGAGGAGGGGCTGGCGGTACCGTGCGCGAGAGGTCATCGGTGTCGTCGGCGGCACTGCGGCGGCGGGACGGGCGGGTGAGGGACGGCACCGCAGGCGCGGAGCGGGCAGTGGGCGCGGCGACGGGGGAGGGAGCAGCGGTGGCGTTGGTTGCGGTGGGCTCGGCGGCGGCGGCGGCGGCGGCAGTGATGGTGGGGGGGGCGAGGGTGAACGATCGAGGCCAGAGACGGGGGCGAACACGGTCGGGGAAGGGCAGCGGCGGAGAGCGTGGCGGTGTGGCATTTCGGGCGGCGACGGCGGCGGCGGGGACGTCTGGGGGAGGGGCTCACAGCGGCGACAGGCAAAGCATCTCCTCGTGCGACACAAAGCTGGCGTTGGTGAGGCCCTCGCCGCGGAAGCGGCACTTCATCTCGCCGGGCGCGACGGGCGCGAAATTGGATCCGCGGATCCGCACCTCCGTCGGCTTGCCCGCATGCGCCGCGCGCGGCGTCACCGAGGACAGCCGCGGCAGCGACACCGAGTCGTAGTACGCCAGCATCAGCTCGCTGCCCAAGGGGCGGTTCATCGCGGTGACGCTCACGCCGACGCTGCCGGGGCGGCCGTCCGGCGCCGGCGGCGCCATGCAGCTCACGGACGAGCGGTCCGGATGCAGCACTGCAGGCACAGCGTGTCCAGAGAACCGGCAACGCAGCTCACTCGCCGCGTCCTCAGACACGTTCAGAGCGAGGTGCACGCGAATGAGGCTGCCGCCGTTGATGTCGGCATAGCCCGGCTCGAGGCTCTGGCCCGCCGCCGAATAGATCGCGGCGGCGGCCAGCGCGGCGACGAGACGCATCGAGCCAGGCGAAACAAGGTGCCCGTTCGCTCTCCTCCGCGAGGTTGAGGGAGAAACCCCTGCGCCCCTCCCCCCACGAGGACCTCTGTGCTTATACCTTATGTCTTTCTTTCTTGGCACTATATGGCGGCGAATCTCACCTGTGCCGCGCATTCTTGCCGCGCCGACCTTCCTCGCGCAGACGAGATCCTCGCGCATGCGTTCGATCGCCGAGCGACATGCTGCCTGCTGCTTGGTCGCTGCTGCTGCTGCTGCTGCCGCCGCTCTGAAAAATCTCTCTTTCTGCTGCTGCTGCTGCTTGCTGAGAGAAGAGAGAAGAGAGAGAGAGAGAGAGAGAGAGAGAGAGAGAGAGAGAGAGAGAGAGAGAGAGAGAGAGAGAGATACCCAACGCGGCCAAAGAACCCACCTCGAGAGAGAACAGACAGACCACGACTCTCTCTGATGCTGTTTGTCATCATCTGTCATCTTCCCAGGACTTCACCTCTCTAATAAAATTAACTAAACAGGGATCAGGGTGAGCGAGGTGCGCGTGCGTGCCCTTCGCAGAACCGAGAAAAGAATCCCATGTACGCACGGCCTCTCTCTAGATCTATCGCTCAATCAAGGTTTAAGCAATGGCGTGTGTGTGAGCTCTCTCTGTCTAAATAAATAAAGACAAGCAAGTAACGAACCTCGAACGCGCATAAGAGAGAGAAAATATCTCACATGACAGATGACAACACCCCTGATGGGTCTCTCTCGAGAATGCTGTTGGTCTAGACACAAGAGAAGAGAGATGAGAGAGAACAAAGAGAGAGAGACGAACTACATCAGAATTGATTGAATGGATGGAAAAGCGGGCGAAGCGGGCATTGGCGCGGGCTCATCATTTCCCTGTCGCCGCCCTCGAAGCGCCCGCCACAGCGCCGATAAAGGAGGGCAAATCGTGCCATATCCGCCGACATTCGAAAACTGAACGTCCTCGTGTCACCAAATCACGGCGTGCGTCCTCGATTTTGCATCGGCGTGCTATAGCGCGTGTTTTGCGCGTCTGGGAGGCAGACGCGCAAGTGCAGAAGCACGCCGATTGATATGTGGCCCAACTGCCACGCGAATACGAGGCGGACGATGTCGGCGCTGTCACTCGTGCACGCCTTCCACTGCACACGCGACGTCTGCCCCGACTCGGCCTGCGCAGAGGCCAAGCAGATGCTCCGCTTTGTCGAGGCCCATGTCGCTGACTGCCATTTGCGGACGCGGGAACGCGATGCCCCGGATGGAGTCCCGGTGCGGGCAACTTGAGAGAGCCACCCCAGACCGTGCTCCCCTGCGTATCTCCGCTCGGCACACTCTGCTCCGCCCGATCGCCGTTTGCTTTCCCCGGAAATTCCTCCGCTCCCCGAGCACGCCGGCCCGTGGCACATCCACTGACATATCCGACAAATCGCAGGCGGAGTGCAAGACGTGCCGGCTATGGGCTGCACTGCACCGCACTCGTCTCGTCTCGGCGACGCGAACCACCGCTGGCTCGGAGATGTGCGCTGAGGCAAAGCCAGAGGTGCACCCAAGGCCTACCCCGAGGGTTCCACCCGTCCCAACGCCATGGCTCATCCGACCGGATCGCGTCGCATCGCTGCAGGCGGGCACGCCAGAGCACAGCGTCGTGGGGCTGCAGCACCGGGCCGGGCGGTCCGCGTCCCACCGTGCCAGCCTCGCCATGCCGATGAAGTCGCGGCTGTTGCAACTCGGACCGCAGCAGGCAGCCTGTCCCTCATGATAGACCAGCGGGGGGGGGGAGGGGGGGGGGGAGTTGGTACGATGGTGACAGCACCGCCTCGCCTCTGCAGATGAGGCGTTTGCTGCACCGGCACGTCGCGAGCTGCAAGCACGACAATTGCGCCACCTGCCAGAAGCTGCGCCGGCTCGGCCGCATCGGTCTGCTCCGCTCCCTGTCGACCCTCCCCGCGCTCCCACCCGCGAGGGCCGACTTTGCGCCGCCGCCCGCGCCATGCCCAAACGAGTCGTGCGCCATCTGTTTCGAGCAGCTCGGCGAGCAGGGGCCGCACTGGACGTGCTCAGTGTGCAACCACGCGCTACACTCGGACTGCTGGTCGCGTTGGGCGATTCAGACGCCCACCGCCACCGCCACATGCCCGCTCTGTCGCTCCGCTGCCTCCTTCCGTCGCTACGACTGAGAGCTCTGCTCGACGGTGCTGCGCCTTGTGGCGCATCGGCTCGCATTGGGACCATTGTGAGACGCCCACCTCGCACGCTGACACGCAGCCCCGGGTCGCCTTTCATACCTGGCGGGCGGCCTGCGCTGCCGCTAGGAGGCCTGCGCTGGGCTTGCCCGACGCAATGGGCTTGCCCGACCACGCCGTCAACTCTACTTTCGCGTTCTCGCCACTACGCTCTGACTGATACCACACACCATCCGCGGTTCGGTGCAGTGCCAACAGATTGGACGAACACTCTGATGTCTTGAGTCTTCTCGGTCACTTGGTCGGGACGGGTGTGGCGTGTGGCGGGGTGTGGGTGGCGGGGTGACCTCCGGACCTGTCAGTGACATTTCACGCTTTGCCTCACACCTTCGTACTTGGTACTTCGAGATTTGCATACCCATGTTCGTTGGGCACATAGAGACAGCCGTGGCTAGCCCGTGTGTAGGGTTGCCTAACGTTAATTTGGGGCCTAACAGTTGCGCTATTGTTGGCTGAAATCCTCAACGTTGTTCAAGTGTTCTCCCCAGCCCAAGCTGTTACTGTTTGTTACTGTTGTTACTGTTGTTCAGCGGCCAGCAAGCAGAAAATGGCAAAAAACCCGGGTAAAACCCGAAAATACCTGGGATTTTCCGGGTATTTCGGGTATTACCCGCACTGGACACTAGAGATCGTCGTGGGTCACTGCCAGGCCTTCCTTATTGTTGTTCAGCCGGCCTAACGTTAGCTACTGTTGTTGGGGGGCCCCACTGTTGTTCTGTTGTTACTGTTAACACTAGCAACACTGTTCAGCTCTTAACGTTAGGCAACCCTACCCGTGTGGTAGGTGACCAGTATACCAGTGATATATACAAACTTTCAACACAACACCTGCGCACTTTCAACACAACACCCCTGCGCTGCCGGCGGCGGCACGCGCGGCTGCGCAGACGATCTGACCCTCTCTTTCGACACAGAGAGCAGCACAGAGGCGGCTCTTCGTTACATGATGAATACATGTGTATATAGCCAAATACGCGCCAAGCCCAGAGAGCGCGGGGCCGCACGAGAGCTGTTCGTAGTTTCGAAGCGTGCACAGGGAGCCAGAGGGGTCGAGCACGCTACTGGCGCGGCGTGCGGGGGCGAGCGGGCGCGGCGGGGGGACAGCGGACACAGCACAAGGGGGTCGTGGCTCCTTTAGGGAGGCTCAGGGCCGCCGCGAGCACACTGCCGACCTCAGCCGACCGCCTCCATCGCAGCTGGCGCCTCTGCTGGGGCGGAGGTGGGACCGTCGCGCGTGGAGACGACCTCATCGATGAGCCCAAACTCGCGCGCCTGCTCGGGCGACATGAAGTGGTCCCGCTCCTTTGCCGATGCAATCTCCTCCACCTGCGGGGCCGGAGGCGAACGGGTGCATGCGGGGGCGGGCGGTGGGCCGGCGAGGACACGAGTCACACGCCACTCAATGCGATGCAGCGCAGAGACTAGGGGCACCGCGATCTGCTCGCAGCGGCGGCCTCCGGAGGGATGCAGCGACTCTCTCTCCCGCGTCTCTCCTAAAGGGGCGGCTCGACCGTCCGGCCGCTGTGCGCCGCGTAGAGCCCGACCAGCCTGCGTGCCGGCCGCGCAGAGGGGTGGTGTGAGAGCACGAGATGGGGTGAGAGGCGGGAGGCGGAGCTGCTGAGGAGAGGCTGGGCGGCGCGGAGCTGCTCAAGGGGCAGCTGCGCGGAACCAGAGGTTTGCGTCTGTGCTTTCGGCGGTGGGCACGCCGCCCCTCGAGTCCGGCCAGACGCGCGGCAGACTGCGTGTGGGGGCGCACCGCTGCTCGGGCGTCGGTATGGCGCAAGAAGCGCTCGTCTCTCGTCTCTCGATGGTCGTCTCTCGATAAGCTGCTCACCTCTCTCGCGTCATCAGGATCTCTCGAGCGTGGATCTCGATGTCGGTCGCCTGAGACGGAGACGCCGCCCGAAGGCTGGTGGATCATCCCGCGCGAGGTTGGCAGCGCCCGCCGCATGCCCGGCGCGCCGGCTGCGAGCAGCAGCGACCCCATCGAGCACGCCTGCCCGACACATAACGTGGCGACCGGCGGCCGCACGAACTGCATGGTGTCGTAGATGGCGAGGCCGGCGGTGACCACGCCGCCGGGCGAGTTGATGTACATGTAGATGGGCTTCTCCACCGACTGGGACTCGAGGTACAGCAGCTGCGCCACCACGACGTTGCTCGTATCGTCATGGATCGGCCCGTTGAGGCAGACGATGCGCTCCTGCAGCAGCCGCGAGAAGATGTCGAAGGCCCGCTCGCCGCGCGGCGTGGACTCGAGCACCATCGGCACCAGGGCCATGCTTCGCCGCGGCGGCCGCCCGCAGAGCGGCGTGCGGCGACAGGCCGCCGACCGTATCGCCCGCATTATTTCGAGTTTGGATAAAAAAAAGCCGACGTGCAGGTGGGCGGCAGCGGCAACACCAGCACCAGCAGCATCAGCGACCAAGCAGCAGCAGCAAGCATGCGCGAGCACAGCAGTCCTCGGGCATCCCCGAGGTGTGGGGTGGATGCAAGCGAGACGGAAAGACGGTCACACTGAGGGGGGGGGCGGCAGCAGGAAGGAGCGAGGGCGGCGCGGTGAGCGACACACAGACACACACACAGACACACAGACGCTGCAGCTGCCAGTAGCAGATTTTTCTCTAAAAGCATGTCCGCGAAGCTTGGAGATCCCCAAAACGCGCTGATTCCGCGGTTCCGATTATAATAACCGCTGGCCGCTCTACCCCGCGCACGTACTCGTACCAATGCGCGCTGCTGCCCGGGGCGCCTGTCGATCGCTGTCCACCGCTGCGCCGCCCCCGCCCCTGTCGATGGCCGATAAGGTGCGGGCATTTGGCTCCCTCCTCGGAACTGGCTTGGCCAGTGGCGCTCTTGGCGGGCTGGTTGGGCTTGGGGCCCATGGTTCCCCCATTATGGTCCCTGCTCTCAAGTCGATGGCAAAGCACTCGGCAGCCACGGCGACGGGCACCGCTGCTGTGGCAGTCGTCTCCACCGGCCTCGCGGGGTGCCTTGGATTTGCGACGGCGGGGAGCTTTGAGCCATCCAAGGGCATGTTTGGGAAGGTGACTCGGACGCTCTCTAGCTGTCTTTGCTCATTTACTTCTGCCACTGGTGCTCGGCCCCTCTCCCCAGCCTCGCTTGCCTCACGCCTGCCCGCATGCCCCCCGCCCTTAGATCGAGGTCTTCACCGCCGTGATGACTGGAGTGGGCGCGGCGATCGGCTCGCGCATCGGCACACCCCTCGCTTCCAAGCTGAACCCACAGCTGCTGCAGCGCTCCTTCGGCGTCGTGCAGCTGGTTCTTGCGCCGCTCGTACTGTACAAACCGATCTACGACAAGCGGGTCAAGGAGGAGGCGGAGCAGCGGAAGAAGCTGCTCCGCAAGTCGACCACTGTCATCTCCTGGGGGAAGACATATACCGACGCGTACACCACCGTCGGGCGCTTCGCGGAGGCGGCAGGCAGGTCGCCGCCCATTGGCCTCGCCGCGGGCACCATCTTTGGCGTCCTCGGCGTCGGCGGCGGCGTCGTTATTGCGCCATGCCTCTGCCTCCTCACCAACCTCGACCACGCGACGGTGCTCGGCACCACTCTCGCAGCAATGCTCCCGGCCAGCGCCATGACCGCCCTCTCGCACTGGCGCGCGGGCAGCGTGTGCATGTACAGCGCCGTCCCCCTGGTGCTCGCCACGGCGGCGGGCGGCTACTACGGGTCGAAGCTTGCCGTCGACCTGCCCGAGGAGCAGACAAAGACGCTCTTCGCCGCGACGATCTTTGGACTCGGCGTGCGCCGCCTCATGCTGTAGACGCGGGGCCGCGCCAAACCTCTCACATATGTGTACGGAGAATCACAAGCGCCGAACGTTGGGCGCTGACATTTGGCGAGAGGGGAGTCGCTACGCCTGCAGTGGCAGCGGACAATCTCGTTAACGCGGGGGCGTCGCCTCTGTCGTGTGCTCTCTCTGAGACTGTGGAGTCGACTAATAGAGACTGGGTACAAAAAGGAGAGACCGCGGGTCCCAGCGGCTCTGGCCCTCTAGTCTGGCCCGCGACTCCCGCGGGGCGCGCGATGGCCGATGCGCGCCGCGGCCCGGTCCCGTGCGGGCTCGCCGTGCGCGCGGGGAGAGAGGCACGGCGCCGCGGGTCTCTCTGTGGGGCGCGGCGCGAGCGACGGTTTTGCAATTTTGCGGGGTATGAGAACACACACGGTGTGGAAAAAGAGGCATGTTGTTAGTGGAAAGCACGCGCCGGGCGCGCGCCGCCGGCACGCTGCACACGAAAAATTGACAGGTGTACCACCTTCGTAGGTGTGCGTCCGCAACTCGGCAAGTCCTCATGCAGCCCCGTCGCCCGGCGTCCCGGAATCCTCGCCTCCGCTGCCTCCGCTGCCGCCGCCGCCGCCGCTGCCGCCGCCGCTTCCACCACCACTCTCATCATCGCCAGCGCGTCGCTTCTCGAGGATCGGCCGAAGGAGGCGCGAACCCACCGAATAAGCGACGAGCAGAACGAGCCCACCAGTCGGCCGCAGCGCCTCGGACGGCCCGAACGGCGTGCCCGCATCATCTTGCTGCTGCTTCACCGAAACCGTCTTCAGAGGCGGCTCTCCTAGCCATCGTCCGACCGGCGTGTCGCCGAGTGCCAGCGACGTGAGGCCCAGCAGGCCGACGCCAATGAGCCCTCGCGGGTTGGGAACGAGCTCCGACCAGCCTCCACCGGTTGCTTTTTCCACCTCTTTATCACGCTCTTTGTTTTCGTACAGAAGCACCCTCTGGACCCGGCGAGGCGCGCCGACCCGGACCGAGGAGAGGCTCAGGCCGCCAGCGAGAGAGGGCAAGCAGCAAAAGCAGAGAAGCAGGCGCATCGCAGCCGAAACAAACACCAGTGGAGCAAAAGAATTTTACGACCTCTCGCGCGCACAACACCGGGATCGCACACGGCAGGGGTGGCGGGACGGTTGTGGAGCGAAGTGGCGGTAGCCAGCCTCAAGCATCGATGGGATAATAAGATGAGACTACCAGACGAGAACGGGGGGAAGGACAGGCCCCGGGCGACTTTTGACGACGTCGGGGATCACAATGTGACGACCAAAACGAAGAAGAAGAAGAGAAAAATCTCTCTCTCTCTCTCTCTCTCTCCCAAAACGATCTTGGGGGCCAGGGTGAGACAACAGGTCGGGGTGCCACATGGGGCACACCACAGGCGTATTCTAGAGGGGGGAAAGAAACGGGGAATGAGGGGCCCCGCCACGAGAAATGCGTTCTGGGGATGCAGAGCGTGCAAAGCGGCAAGGGATGAGGCCACAAAAGAGGCGCGCGAGGCAAGGAGGAGACTCGGAGAACTGAGAGACTGGGACGACTGGACACAAGAAGACAGTGAGCCACCACAGGCGTCGCTAGCGCACATACTGAGCGGCAGCTGCGCTGGAAATAGACAGCAATAGTCGAACGGGCGGCGCCGGACTCAAACCGGCACCAACTTGATTCGTAGATGCGCGTCTCACGGCCGGACCGCGGGACGGGGAGGGAGGGGGGTGGATCCGTAAATCCGTAAGTCCGTAAATCGTGTAACAAAAAACCACGAGAGACTCCCCCGCCGCACCCAGCTACAAGGCAGGCAGAGACACAGCACTCGCGACACGCTGAGAAGCCGGAGGCTGGCCTCTCCAATGCTCGCGCAACGCTGTCTGAGTGTCTGTGCACGCGCAGCAGCTCTCCGGGGTCCGCGCGGGCGGCGCACACAGTGGGAGGGCGACGACCGTGCGACTGTAACGCTACGTATATCTCTTAACAATCACTATATTCGCGCTTGCGCTGCGCCCCTGCGAGTGCGACTATCAACCTCTGTCGCGTGCGCATATAATCCCCTCCATCTTGTCGTACAGCCTTGACCTCTCCGCCTCTGCGGCATCAGCGCGCCTCGCCTCTGCCTCCATCGAAATCTGCAGCGCGACGAGCTGCTCGCGCAGCTCGGCCTGGATCTTGGCCCGCATCTCGCCGATACGCCACTCACACTCAGCTCGAGCTGCGTGTTTTGCCTCGTCGGCCGTCCGCTCGGCCGCTTTGATGTCGCGTTTAGCAGCCTGCTGCGCTGTCCTCAGGTTGTCGCGGTCGGAACGCCTACGCTCTTGTGCCGCAGCAAGCTCAGCCCGCGCCGATGCGAGCGCCTTCTTCACAGCGCTCCCAGAGCGCTGTGAAGAAGCGAGCTCCTTGGTCTGTGACCGCAACTTCTCTTCCAACTCCTGCCGGAGCAGCACCTCAGCACTCGCACTACTCGCGGCTGCATGGATGTCCGAGCCCTTTAGTGTGGTTTGCGCGTCTGTGCTGACGAGAGTGCGGGAGATGCTGCCGTTGTGCTGACCAGAGATTACGCCAGCGGTGGCAGTGCTGCTTGGGCACACAACAACATTGCTCGTGGCCGAGCTGGCATAAACCGCCGCACCAGCCTCTGCGGCTGCAGTGGTGCTTCGGATCGCGTCGAGCACTGCGCCTGTATCGTGCTTGAGCATGGCCTCGAGCGTACTGAGGTCGGCTGTCCCGAGCTCGTTGAGCAGACCCTCCAGCACAATGCTGAGCTGCGTCGGTGCCATGTGTCGACGTGTCCAAGGGAACGGACGTCGCCGAAGGCCTTAGTTCACGCCGAAAAGTACGTCGAACGCCCCCTGCTAGCTGGGGCACGCTCCCACGCGGCTGGGGGCCGCTCTCCAGCTCGATTAGGGCGCTTTTCGCGCGATTTTACGGAATTACGGATTGGAGGGGGGTGGCGGCACATAGGGGGAGGGGGAGACGCGCATCTACGAATCAAGTTGGTGCCGGAAAAGACACCGCCACATTCCTGAGACGCGCGAGGGCAGCCTCCTTAAAGGCAATGGGGTCTAGATTCGGAGCGCTCGCCGAAGGGGAGTACGACAAAATAGCGCCCGTGATTGCCTGCACGCTGCCCGCACTCACGGACCCCATACCCGAAAGAAAGAGAGGGGAGCTCGCGGGAGAGGTGACGAGTGAACTACAGGTAGTGGGGAAGGCAGCCTCGATTGCCATACAGACATGGGTGCGAAACAACGACAAGACCAAGGCACGGGCAGAGGAACGAGAGAAGAATATAGGGCGGATAAAGCGCCTGTTCACGGCATGGAGGGTGAGCCCACGCCGAACGTACTGAACGTAGAGCCGAGCGGAAGGAAGAGGGGGAAGACGACTCCGAGGAGGACGAACCAGTGGAAATCCCGTTGTCAGCCGTCACGATGCACCCGAAGGGGACCCCAGCGCCGGCATCATCAGTGAAGGCACAAGTGTTCGAAGAGAGAGTGGACCTGAGCAACGATATGACTGGGTGGCAAATGATCGCAGTGGGCGTCAGAAGACTCGTCCTTGCTCGAGGAGAGCTCGATAGACTCGAGGGGCCAGGATATGCAGCGAGGAGGACGGAGCTGCGCCGAAAGGCGCAAGAAGCCGCGAGAGCAAGGGACCGGCAGGCGGCGGCGGCGTCGCAGAACGAGGCAGACGAGAGCGACGCGACAGAGGAGGAAGCGACAGGAGGGAGAACGACGAGAGTGGGACGACCGCGAGGTGGCATGAAGGTTGCAGCGAGAATCGGCGAGAGACTGCGAAGAGAGATAGGAAGAGGCGGACGCCCAAGGGTGGGCGACGGCTAGCGCACCACACTCCTCTCTTAAAATCCCTGTGTGGTGGCGGCGTGCCGTCCTCCCATCCCTCCCTTGGGTTGTCCGTTTTCTTTCTTTCTTTCTTACACTGGGCACGGGGACTGGC